AAAAATATATTAATTGCAAAATTTTTCTACGCTTTCAAGTATTCTCAGATCAGTAGCATAAATAACCTATAAAACCAGTGTATAGATTTATTTCAATGTCTGTAAGAAGAACAAGTAAAAAAAACATTTTTGTTGAAGGGATGCATGTCTTGATGAGAATCACTTGTTATGAAAATTTTCACCACACTATTCACTCATCCGAAATAGGGCTTGGCACGAGGTGGCTTTTTGAAATTGCAAAAAAACAAAGTCCCCATTAACTTTCCCAAAATTTTACGGTCTTCTTTGACCCTAAACCAGGAACGTAACCCTCCCCCCCTCCCCCCGGAAAAAAAACGAAACAACGACTAAAGAAACGTAACCTACGTTGTTTTTTTTGGACAACATCCCCTTGCTACTGCCATAAAAACAATATCCAGCTTGCTTATACCTGTCCGAGAATTTTTTCGCGGCTGTGACTCATTTGTATCACTTGTTTCACATTTGCTTGATTTATGAATGCTTTTTGACGACATCTACTATTCAGGTATTTGACGTTCGGAATAAGTGACATTTATCTTCTTTTTATGATTGATGTCTTCGAGTGCACTATCTGGTCTTTACTTTCATTTCTGCAGCTGGAATCATTGGCCTGCTTAAGCCTTCAGTAATTACCAAGAGCACTTGAGAGCTTTGTGAGGCAACGAGTGCGCGAGCTGAGGCAATCTTTCATGATATTTTGCTTCTCTTCTTTTTTTGTTCTTTTACGTGATTAGAATTTTTTGTTGTGATCTGTAGATCATGTTGGTTATGATTTGACATATAAACATGCTAATGATCCAAGATATATGTCTTGAGTTTTGCAAAAAATCTGCTTTCGTTTGATTAATTCTCAGCGTTTGTTCCCATCTTAATATAAGGACGATGCAAAAGTGTGTACACACTGTTTGATTGTTAAATTCTTGCTCGAATGCCATTTTGAATCCCAAGTACCGTTTTGGAGAGCTGGCCTCATTTTAGACTGCGTTATGGAGCAAATCACCGATCGCTCTTCGTTGCTGTAGAATTACAGTGGGATGAGCGGGGGGAGGGGAGAGGGGGGGGGGGCTCTAGCGTACAATGCCATTTAACCCTTTAGAAAAAATTCAAAAAAATATGGAAAACTCAGAGGTTGTGTACCCATGGTTTCCAAATGCGCTGAACTGCTTCATTTTTTGCGAGTTTGTGAGGTTTTCTAGAGGGTGTAATCAATTTTCATAACATGCTGAGAAAACTCTTGACCATAACTTTTACATAAAAACAAGGGTAAACTTCCAATTTCACATTTAATTTTATCTGAAGATCGACGAAGGATAGAGTAAGAGAGGTGGTATCAATAATGTAAAGGGTCCGGACAAAGAAAATTTGCAAAAAGAAAAAATTTGAAATCTAAATTTGTCAGTTTTCCAGCGCTTTTCGGTATGCCTCGGACTCAATTCTACAACACTTACCTGATGGAGCAAGAGAGGTGGTAACGATCAAACAGTGCTCACTAGTCTTGAGACCCCTACATCAGAAATTTATATTGAGCAAATTCTAGTCGAAGCAGAATTACTATGAACTTATCTTCGAAAACGATTAACACCACCTTCTTCTAGTCAAACAGAGTTGGTTATAGAAATAGCAACAAAACTAAAATCATATTTTCCTTGACATATTTCTAAAGATCGAAACGAGTAGTACGAGTATTTGGGTGGCTCCAACCGTCGTATGGTTTGTGAAATAGCATCAACGATTTTTTCTTTCAGTACTACTGAGCACACATTCGCTTTTTGCTATATGTTAAATCACACATTTTTGTTCAAAAAATTTTTTTCGACAACGTACAACTCATTTTCCAACGTACATAGTAGAATTATTTCAGCCTTCTCTTTTCATATAAATCAATATCCCACTTCAAAATGTTTTTGTTACTTGTTTGATAGACGAAACATCACGGCAATCAACTAGAAGGCTCTTCCTGCAATAGACTATTTTCATATTTCGTACTACTTCTTACATTTACCTAGGAAAATCAGATCAAATCTCAAGCACTGAGAATCTGAGATCACTGTCTCCTTCCATGCTTTTGTTTTCCCGTGCTGCTCACTTCCACATGTGTATCTCAATAGCTCGCCGCATTCAGTCCTGCGTGTAATCGGCTTTTTTCTTCTTGCAAAAGCTTTCATTGCTATAGGATGATATTTATCCCCACTGATTTTTTGCTACTTGTGATTTGAAATCCAGCAGATACATAAATTATATATACGCCTTTTACGAGAAACTTGTGAGAAATCTTCTCAAAGACTCCTACTTTTCTGTTGAGTCCTTGGAATTTCAGAAAGCTTATTGCCAAAAAAGGATTTAGTGTTATATAGGTTCTAGGAAAAAACTTTGAGGCTGCTTTGTTTTTTATGGACGAAAGATATCAGTGAAATTAGTGCAAAATATGTAGATTATCGGCAGTCACGTCTTGTTTCTGAGATTTTGTCTGGAGGGGGGGGGGGGGGGGAGGAGGGAAAGATCTCCAAAATTTTGGATTTCAACAAAATCTTCGAAACTTGTGGCTAATGCCACGCCTTTTCATTCGAAAAAAATTATAGGATCTTATCAAAGCGTAATTTTTACTATTTCGGCTATTGCTCTTATGGTCAGTACTCTTCCTTCGTTCTTCTTTCACCTGATTCTTTTATTGGAGCCTTATTCGCTAAAGAACAAGCTTTTATTGACAAATTCAAATCACCTGTTCATTTATAGACTTTGTTGCAAATTTTACTCGCTATGCATTTCTGTCTAAAGTTTTCTGTTTCACGATCAATAGAAAAGGACGAAGTCAAGAATCAACACGGTTCCAAACTTGGTGTAATTAGACGTGGCATGGTCTAAAGAATATCGCAAAGTCTAAATAGTCTCTTTCGTATTCATGACAGAAAATTCATTCCTTAGTTTCTTTTATATCTTGCAAACTTTTTATTGTTGCCTACAGCATGCAGAGATATTTTGTAAACTTTTTCTTCAGAAAAATATTTCTGCCACCGAGATCATATTGCTTCTGTCTTTGCTGTCCAAATGACTCGATTTGCGTAATTACAGATTGTAAACTTCGATGGATTGGTGGCTTCTGCTATACTCCTTAGTTATGAGGATGGCAACAGTTCTATCAGTAAAACATTGCTATCAATGCTCAGACGCTAATATCGAAACAGTGAGTCGTTCTACTTATTTCTACAGCATGGCTTATTGCTACAGGCGAATTCTGAGAGTGGCGAAACAAGTAAATAAGGGAAAAATGAACATCCATAGCCATGAGATACAGGCATAAAACCTTTGATTCAACTGGCTTGGCGTCTGAAAGGCGGGGTTTTGTGACCTAATTAGGGCCGCTCGTGTACGCTGCGCAATCTGCGTCTCTCCCGCATGCGTGCTCTCTTGTCACTATCTAGCCTCAACGAGGTCAAAAAGTCCTGCCTTCCAGGCGCCAAGCCATTGAATCAAAGGGTACAAGTTCCTTAACAAATATGCTGATGGAATGCTGGAACCCTAGTGCTACTTAACTGAGTATGAGATAACATGAGATACATAATGAAATAGATAAGTGAGGTACAGAAACCATTGGGAGCTCAAGAAATTTGCGGAAGGGAAGAGAGCAAAGAATTGAAAAGGGAGCAAAGCGTTGCATTTTTCCAGAATTTTATTGGAAATTTTAAATTCTTGGCAAGGTTACCTTAAGGTTTCAAGGCAAGGCTGCCTAAGTCTCGGAATAAAAGGGTAATATCACAAAGTATAAACAGTTTTGTATTCACCCTTGTTATCTATTCCAAATTTTTTCCCGTACCCATATCTCCAGTTTTGTTGTTGCTCATGTGATTGAGACGATTTCCAGCATTATGGAGTATTCTTCATCAATCCGAGGGTCATACAAGATGGGAACAAAAACGATGTAAAGAAATGCGACAGGTAAGCTTTACTAGGAAGAATCGATAAATCGATTGAATCTACTCACAACTAAAGGTTCAATGTACCTGTGGTCGAATGTAACGACACATGCTTTTCGTTAAATGTCACATCGTTGCACGTAAAAGGTCGAGAAGTGCTTCCTTTTGGTAAGCATTAAGAAAAATTTTGATATTTTGTGTAAGTGATACATTTCTAAGGAGCTGCTCATGGATGTTCGCAGTATGTGTTGAGTGAAGACGTCGATGATCAAACAGGATGCACGAAAAAGGACATTTTGTTACGGTAAGTATGCTTATATGGGTTATAAAACGTTAATTCTGAGCTCTCCAAACTCTCCATTAGCAAGAAACTTTTGATATTGATAGAACTTTCCATATTGATAGAACGCATGAAGGAGGCGGTGGCTCCTGTGCTGCGAGCATAAGATTGCTCCAGAAGTTGAGATAACTCCGTCCACTGGGATAGCACCGCCCACTTTCATTCACCAACTGAGAAAGCTTGCTAAAATGTCAGTGGAAGGCATTGATGATGGTGATGGGTATAGATGTAGGCCAGAAAAAGCATGTGAAGCTTTTTCGCGGAGCAGATTCATGGTGCCAAAATCAAAACAATCTCTATGACGAAAGCAAATCGTAAGTATAATTTTTTCCAAACACATCAGCAGGGGGCTGTAGTCTCCTTCTATTTGGCCCAGCATAATTGTGAATATAGCGAAGTCAAGGGTGTCAATCTCCTAGATTATTTGGTGAGTGGGAGGGGCTATATCGGTGGGCGGACCTGTACCAGCACAAACTTACCCTTTGATTCAACATGCTTGGCGGTTGAAAGGCGGGGCTTGTGTAATTAACTAGATAATGATCAGAGAGCATGCGCGCGACAGAGACGCAGACTGCATCGCGGGTGCGAGCGACCTCAACTAGGACACAAAGCCCCGCCTTCCAGCCGCCAAGACAGTTGAATCAGAGGTTAACTCTCCGTTCTCAGCATTTTGAAGGCAGACTTGCGCCCTTTTGAAATAGAAGATAAATTAAGCTGGTAAAAAGTTACTATTCAAAATTGGCTTCTTTTATAGCATCGCACATAATTTTGACCAGCACATTATCCTTGCAGTTAAAAACTATAATTCGAACTTTGCCTTGACCCTTAAAAAATTTTGAAAAAATGAAAAATATATTCATGCGCGAGAAGACGTGAGTAATCGTTTTTTTTTGTATGTGTCTCATATACAATAGTTCGTTTATAATGTACAGCTTCTACGTTAGCTTCCTACGCTAGTATCCTTTCAGGACCATTCCACCATATGTCGTGCAAGCAGAGTACTGTAAGTGCAACGGTGATCTGTGCAATACGGTCAATCACATACTGGTACCACCGCAACGAACTGCACCAGGAAGACAACACTTTTACGTCAATTATGTTAATGGCCCTCAAAATTTGGTCTCAGACACTTCTCCTATAATCATTCTAGTTTTGGCCTTATTAGTCTAGCACCTCATTTTTACGGATCTCTGATGTATGGGCCAAATAGAGACATTTTTAGAAACTTGAAATAGACTGTTGATGTTTACAAGTGCCTTTTACAATTTATGTACAGTCACAGCAATAAAATGTTATAAACAAAATTATAATTATTAGACAAAGGGACAAGCAGTCGATGCTTACAAAACGACATAACAAAATGTCAAACAAAATTCACTGGAATATGCTTTTATTTTGGAGAAATTTCTCTCGTCGAGCTTTCTTCTCTTCTTCTTGATGTTTACGTTCTTCTTGTTCTTCTTTGATCTCTTGCTCGAATTTCGAGAGTTTGGTTTGTTCTTCGATCTGAAAAACTCGGATTCAAAACTTTTAAAAATTAAAAAGCAGAATTTTTGAACCTGCTTCGAAAGTAAAATTGTTCTCATCTCAACAAAGTATTGAACGGTATGGCGATAAAAATTCCTAGCGCTGACCAGGATACCGTATGCCTACCGTAATTTTTCCGCGAAACAGCCAAATAGACCTTTCATGCAAATTTTTCCTGCAGGGATTACTTGCTTATAGAACCTGCGTTGTTTTTTATTTACGATTTGGTTTACATGGTTTATATGGTAGCTATACGTATATGTATCGATCCAACTTTAGTACAAGAAGTATTTTAAGAATTATGATACGGTTTTTCGTAGGGCAACAAAACCTCTTTGAAGATCCTTCTAACCTACCTATCCTATCGTAATCAAGAAATGAGATAAGTGTTTGATGATTATGCTTACCTTTGCTTGGAAAAAGCTTGCAGCACCAAGAACACCTTCTTTTGTTACATCAACACTGTCGGCTAGAGTTTGGAACACCTGAAATTTTACAGTAAACTTTAAAATTGTAAGAGCTCAGGTGTAATTAAAACATGTTGTCTTAAGTATTCACCTCTGAGCAACCGAGTTGATTTTGAGCAGCCAGGCGGAAGATGAGGAAAAATTCTCGTAACGAGATTTTGTTGTCTTTGTCCTCATCAACCTGAAAGCATAAAGAAGATTGCGATTGGGAACTCAAACCTCAGTCAGTAACAAAGTCAAAGTAAAGAAAGAATATCAAATACTACATCAAAAGGATAGGAAATAGCAGAAGCTGAAGGGCACTGTAGGAAGCAGTTTAATCATTGTGACTCTCCATTCATGTGAATTTTCGTTTAAAGAATTTTGGTGAAAAATCTTTAAGAGATGCATGAATGAAAACATTGAAAGCTTAGATTTTGAGAACTTTTTCGTAATGACTTCTATGGTCTAAGCTAATGTCTCTGTGAATGCTCACCTTCCTTATGATTTCCTTCAAAGCTATGTGTGTCTGAGCTTCACCAAGCTTTTCCATCATTCTTTTCAATTCGTCGAAATCAATAAATCCATCACCATCTTCATCATACCTAAAAAGAAAAAGAGGAAGATACAGATAATTGAAAAAAACTTTGCTCGAAAGGACCCAAAAATGAACATACTTTTTGAAGGTTTCATTGAAAAATCTGATTTGCTTCCTTGAGAATTCCGAAAACTCAGCGTATAGAGAGAGCTTTTTGTGTATCATCTCAGGCATTGTTTCGCCTGAAATTAGAATGATTGAGAGCTTATTTTGACGCCTAAAGAAATTTTCAGGAAGTTTATGTTTTGTCGTGTGTCAAGAATTCGAAGATTTTTGCAAGTTCAGTAATAAAATGGGTTATATTGTTGAAAAGAAGATTTCATCAAAATATCTCAGTGACTTCAATTTCAATGTCTACGGCTTCATAATTCATTGAGGAATTTCAAAATTACGAAAAATACCGCAGGCATTTAGCAGCACAGGATTATGGCACATAATGTTTTTAAGGAGTAGCATTTTATCCTGACTCCGGTAAAAACACGATTAGTAAGTTGTTGGAAGTAAAAAGTTAAAAAAGTAATATGATAAAAGATGACTTAGAATACAGTAAAACAATGTATAGGTTTGAATATGTTGACTTATTTAATTGCAGAAATATTGATAACTCCTGAACAATATATCAAAAAAACCCTTATACAACCAAATTATAATATTCAAGAGTTCGTCCATCGTGCTAGGCTTGCATGGAAAGTTGTTATATTTCGGATCCTTAAAATGATTCTCATGTTTTTTTCAGAAGTTGTGCTGAAAAGCAGTTGTTCGAGAACAGGGAATTCTACAAATTTTGAGACGTGCACCATCTTGAACTCTAAAAGCTGAAGAGCAATAAATCTTAAAGCTGTCATGCTGCCTCCAAGCCCGTAGCTAATCTTTGATGGACCCGAAATGTGATCGCTTCCCCCGGATGACATATGGTCGAGTGTCGCATCGAGATCATTAGGGAATCAATCAAGGCTTGACTGCGTAAAATTTGGATTTATTAGGGCCATTGTTCGAAACAATTAGTTTGACAATGTTGGTTACAGGAAAAATTTGATTTTGTTTAGAAGCTAGGAAAATTCCTTATATTTTAGTCCGAAAGGAAGTTTCGAAATTCGCAATATTTTCTTCCATCCAAAGGCGGGAATCATTGCAGATGACGAAAATAAAAATAGTGAGATTTTAAAAATAATATTGATTAGGACAATGATAATTTGGGACATTGACAGGTACAATAACGAGCTTATGTAAAAATAATAATGGATGATATTGAATAATAATAATAATAAATAATAAATTACTACTAATAATAATGATAATAATAATACAATGAATAATAAGTGATATTAACGTAGCAATATTAATAATAATAACGTAACGAAAGTATTTGGTATTTTTTCCTCAAAACAGTGCAGCTATAGTGATAATAATATTAAGGAAAAAAACCATAAATTCCAATATTATAGTTAAATGGTTGTGAGATAGAAATTAAGATAATAATGTTAGAAGCGAAAATTTTTGAAGTAACCGCTAAATTGCCGTTTGCGACATATTATAAAAGTTGCCGCTGAGCCATAGTTCTGTTATTGTCTTTGGAATCGCGGTAATTTCGCTGTGAGATTATTAGTCCTTGGTTGTATTGCTAATAGACGTTTCCTTGAAATCTAAGTCTGAATAAAAAGCAACAAAAAGTGAAACAAGTCAGTTACTTTCAATTACAGTCGAGTAATTTGTAGCTTGATATGTGAACCTGCGCAACACACGCGATAACTGACGACACCCTAACCAGTAAACCCTTCGTAAGACATTTTCTGGCATAACGAACCGTAGTAGTGTGTACTAGTAACCAGTACATACTCAATTAAACGGAAAGAGCCAAGAGAACGAGAAGAAATTAGTGGAAATGAGCAGGTTCTATTACAAGCCGTCATGTAGCGCGCATGATGTGCAATGCACATATTTAGTTAATGACTCGCGGTTATATGTATTTGCCTATATCCGTTTATGCACGAAATGAAATCGAGTAGAAATGAAAGGGGAAACAAAAAGCCTTTGGTTTCAATCACGACAAATTGCATGGTTTATAGGGCATATATCACTTGTGAATGAGAAAGCTGCTCTGGTTATACATATGCGACCTCATTCGTTCTGTTTTTGAGGATGTGAAACAGGAAATATTTCTCTCGGCTGTTACAAGGAGGAGGTGGATGAAGAAAAAGTGCCATTTGCGCCTGCCTTAGGACCACTGTAAAGTCAGATTTCTTGCCTTTGCACCGTATATGATAATTTCTTATTCTGAGAAAAGCAAGTTTTAAAGGCTCTCATAAGAGATTTTTTGTAATTTACAATAAAAAACATTACATCTAATTTAAGTATTATTTCTTTGGCTATTTTATTTTCAAATATTCAAAATGAGATTTGCACGCATTTACAAGGAAGAATGAGAAATCATTACCATACATTATTTTTTAAAATTGTTCAATGGGGAATTTACAGACAATTTTTGAGAATTCGAAAATAACTTAGAAATTTATTATCAAACTGTTACTTACACGAAGTAATCGAAATTGCGATAAAACATAAAAAAAAATTCAAAATTAAACTTGAAAAAAAATTCAAATAAGACCAACGGTGCTAAGAATACCCGTTTCACTTAATTTTATATCAGAGAAAAGAGACAGCATGGGACACACGGGTACTTATACGAGCTCAGCTTGGAACGGCTATGGAAATCGATGTTCGTGTGGGGAGGAGTGACACCCGTGCAAAGGCAATGAATTTCAAGACAACCACTCGGGTATTAATTACTCGGGTAAGCAGATTGGGGAGAAGCTCATTTCCGCATTTGAGACACCCAGTTGATACGAAAGATGAAATTTTCAGCCATCTTGCAAGAAAAGTGATAAGTGCTTTTTCAACTTTCTTTATTTGCAGAAATCTAGCAAGATTGGCAGAATTACTCATGTCATTTTAAAAAAGATAATTTCTTTCAGAAATTCAACCTTGATTTTTATACCGACATTATGTTATAAAGAAGCTTGATTGTTGGAAGTGTGAGGTTTTCAAGCAATTGCTTGCAGGATCGTCTACTAAGAAATTTTTCCGACTTTTTCATACTTCTTTCTAATTGTGGAAAGTTTTAAACAGGTAAATAAATACGACTCGCAATGGATATGATTTGAAGATGCAAAAGTTGAAAATAGTTACGTGTCAGTAAGAGCTTCCTACCGAAAGTTTTCTTTACTATTCGCTTTCAAAACTAAAAAAATATTTTGAACAATATTTATAAATGATGATATTCTCAATTTCAAAAATTAATCAAAATGATATTTTTCAACAATCTTGTCATTGAGCTATAAAACTAGTAATGCTAGAATTTTCTCGGTGCAAAACTTTCGAAATTATTTCACAAACATACTATTGAATCCGATCATTCTTATGAATCTTGAAGTCGAGTAAAAAAATTTTTTCAAAACCGAATACAAGCCATAAAATGATGCAAATCTCAGAAAAGAATACAAGCATTTTTCTAAGGAAGCTTGTCCTATAAAGCTGAGCTGATGGATGGCTTCTACGCAAAAATTACAGCCAATTGGCATGCCACTATTCCTTCCAGCAAAAGAAAATTGCGAAAAAAAAATTAAAACAAGGAACTGGAAGATAAGAAACGCTCGGAAAAATTTGTTTTTTTTTTTGAAGAATGCTGGCTTCCAAGCAGTTAACTTGCGGCCCAAACCAAATACACATCAAGATCGCCTAGCTTGAAATAAGTACACTGAATCTCAACACATTTGCTTTAGCACTTCACATTATCCTTGACCGCCAACAAATGCGTTGTTAACGACGTTCAGCGTTGGTCATTACTAGAAGACTTATGTGAGAACACGAAGCTGTTGAGAAAGAATTGGAGCGTTGGACAGAAAATTCTGTTTGTGCGCAATTCCCAATGCATAGTTGTAGTACAGGAAATTAGATCAGAACTTTGGGAAAAAACTTTGGTTTCAATTAAAATACAAGTGGAAATATGATCTGTGAAAAAGCAGTTCTGCGAAAGGGGGAAAGAAGCGCCGTAGAAAAACTAGATTTTCGCAATAAGCATAATAGTCTATTTTCAAAATTTGGCTTCAGGGCTCGGTACGAGGTGGCTTCCGGAAAATGCAAAAAACGATGTCGCCCTTGACTTTGGCGAATATTTACGAAGTCCTCTTTGACTTAAACACTAAACTTTGAAAAAAAAAACCCAGAAAACGAAACGTCGCCATGCCCCAATTTTCTGATGACAGATAAATGGACTTTTTTGTTATTACTGCGCAAGATAATATCACTACCTGACCAAGACAAAGACTTAGGGAGAATTGGTTCAGATTTTACCCATAGAAAATCAATTTTTACTCGCTAATTCACCAATTATCAAAAATTTTGATATTTTCTTTGCTCAATCAGGTACAGTTACCACTGGCAAAAAAAACATTCATGATAACGTAATTTTACTCTCAAGATTATCAAAATAGGGAAACTGGCTAAGACCCTTTTTTGAAACGAAAAGAAAGGGAAAGGAGGAAAAATACCAGAAACACACCTTTCTTGCAGGATAGTAAAGGATCAAGTTAGCGCAATATCTCATCCCCCGCTTGAATTTCCCCTTAGTGCAATTTCGTAGTAGAAATTTTCAAAAATGGAGAGTCAAAAAGTGAGTTCTTCTGTTAACTAAAGCATGAGAAAAAAAGCATTTTCTTTTCTTGTTTAGCAGGCCGATTCATAAGGCCAGAAGAGAAAAGCCAGATTATACTGATATTAGTCCAAAATAAATTCAACCCAACGTCTGCAAAAAAATAAAGAAGAAATTCTGGAAGATGTTAGAGGCGGAAAGGAATAGGAAGATGACAAGGGAAATTTAATATGTGTCCTGTTGCAGATAACAATTTTATAGCGTGATCAAAATCTGAGCGAACATTGAAAATATTTTAGAACAAATTTCACAAAATATTGGCCAAAATGTGCTCTCAACAGCATTTTGGACACAATCAAGTTCAAAGAGCATGGATTTGGTTTACGAAAACTAACATTTTTGAGAGCACTTGTACTACTTTTTTTTTCAAAATTCAGGTCATGTAACAATAGCGCGAAGTTTGGTATTTTTGAGAGAGTTTTTCAATAATCGATAAGAATAGAAATGGGAGAGTGTGGAGTGATACCGGCAGAGGCAAGCAGGTAAAAAAATCCTCTAAACAGTACAATTTGATATGATCAAAGGGCACTGGTTATCTCGGGAACAATCAAAACAAACACAAAACGCTAGTAACTGCGATGACCTGGAAATGTGTTTTTTGAATCCCTTCCCGATACAATTTGAACACCACTAAACTCGTGGTAAATGGGACACCGTGACATAAGGGGGGGGGGTGGATGATTCACTTCTTTACAACTTGAAACCAATCGTTGTTGGTGCCTATCGTCGATGCACTATGCCTTAGTCATCGCTATCATCTGATTGATGACCATTGACTGATCTATTTATGGAGAGATGAATCGTATCTACCGAATTTAAGTTTTGTAGAAATGTTGATAGATACGATTTATCCATTTCTGAATTATTTAATGTTCAAACTATTGGGTCGTAACATAAGTTTTGTAACACTTTTTCACTTTCCTTTAGAAAACTCTAGAAACTTCAGCAAAGTTTAATATTTTGTACATATGAGCAGTCACCTTTACAGATATGGATTATAGTAAAAATAAAGGCGACTTATGACGGGACACTTCAATCTCCATTTTTCTTCTTCTTATAAAAATTTTCTCATTCATATTTTTTTGGCTCTCAGATTTTTACAGATTTCTGGGGTCATGACTACTTATATGTAGGTAGTTTGGAAGTCCTTGTAAACAGTTGGAAAATTGCCAAAATTAACAGAATAATTTTAGAAAAATCAAAAATACGGTTTTCACACATGACAGGTAAAAACGATACAACCGTCCAATTTTGAAGTTGAGAAAAAATTTTTTGAGGAATTTATGAACATTTTTCCTCTGAGTGTAACAGAACCTATGTTGCGATTTAATACTTTCCGCATATTTTGGGCAAAACTAAGCCCGACAATTTCAAGGTTTTTCAGATCAGAACTAATTGAATTCAAAACGTTGCCATAGAAAAAATTGAAAAAGTTTTTAGTCGAGAGCGAAGGGAGAAAAAAAAGCAATTTGATGAAGATCAGTTAACGCTATAAAGAATGTGGACTCTTGTATTGACTTGAAAAATTTTTTTCGTTGAGTAAAGACTTCCTCGAAAACGACTTTTTAGAAAATCTGACTCATCAACTTCAAAAAAAATTAAAAAAGAATTTTGCGAAAAAAACTCTGTCTCAACTGTATTTTGCGAAAATTTGCTGTTTCACTGCATCTTTATGGAACTTTGAAAAAAGAAGAGGACTCGATTGTTTCTGCAGTTCTTAGACTAGTTCTGTTTCCTTCTATTGTTGATTCAAAAGACATTTGCGTCCACTGAATCAACAAATAAATAGTTAATGGATGGAAAAATAAATAAACGTAGAGATATGATAAACCTGGGCCAGCTTTTGTGGGAATATTCTTTCCAGAAATAGACTTTCTACAAATTTCAATCCTGGAATTTGATTATAAATTCCCAGTATTTTTAGAACAAACTTCTTTGATGTTTGAAAATGACGCAACGCATTAGTACGTAAGCAAAAATACTATGAAGCTTTTATTACATAAAAAATATGATAGAAAAATAAACGCATTGTTTATATCCATACCAGAAGTTTCGTAGCTTACGCTTATTCATTCACTTTTTCGCTTAACTTTTTACCGAATTATTAATTTATCTATTCATTCAAGCAAAGAGAAATAGTTGACAGATATTGAAATGTGAAATTATTGTTGGCGTAAATATGGTAAAATAACCAAGAGATATCTTTTCAACTGATTGAATGCTCATCCTCCTCTCGTCCCCAGCAAAACAAATAATGAAAACTCAAGTAAAAATTACCTTGCTCGTAGGTAATCATGATAACAGATCGTACAATAAATTGTTCGGAATGTGGTGGGTGACAGATATGCGAGATGTAAGAATAACCCTCACCCGGGAAGAGATCTGACGATAATGTGATGAGAATGCGCAAATGGCAAAGAGAACGCAGAGCGTAAATGTCGGGGGAAGAGATTGCGGTCGAGTGACTAATCCTGGACCATAAAGGTGAAATCTATCGGACCATCTGTCTGAAGAAACGCGTTCGACTCGGTGTATTCGGATGTATAGCTTTGTGAGTTTCAAACACAACGAGTAGCCTCTAACCCAAATGAGCTTTTTTCGTAATTAATTAGTAAAATTAATCAAACGTTATGGTAATTACTTGATCAGCAAAAGAATTGTATGCAAGACTGGTTCGAGATTATAGGTTTTACTAACTCAAAATCGAGTTTCCTCCACCAATAAAAAGTTGTAAAAAACCGATCTGCATAGACATGAAACAGGCAAAACCTGCATGGGACGGGTGCCATCGGTCAAATGGAAATTCCTTTTCGAAAAAGGAGGAGTCATAGGGGACCCTCAGGATTAAGCCGTAATTTATAGGTACGTATACAAGAGCGCTGATTTGTACAAGAAATAAAACCACTTAAGGAAGTGGTAACAAACTTTTTCTACTTCTTATCTGTCGAATGAAGACATGACCTAAATGGTATGAAAGTTAATTTTCTCAAAAATCCCATATATCTGATGTACGACATTCATTATATAAAAACAATCTGGTTACAGAACACCTCCTGTTATTTTTATAATAATGAAAAATCACATCGAATATTCAAAAAATAAGGTGTCCTTCCCCTTTAGTGGAACTATACAGTGCTCAGGGGACCAAGAGGTAAACCATAGAATCCCGAAACACCAAGGGATTATTCATTTTACAGAAATCCTGCTTGCTAAACCTTGCTTTACCTTAGAGCTACCGTGCTTGAGCATTTTTAAATGTGAAATTGTGCTGAAAATCTCCACCAACACTAAAATATCCTATGAAACTCAAATTTCAAAACGAAGCTTTACGTCTTGTGTTACAATACGATTTGAAAAGAAAAAGCAAAACAAGAACAGATTGCATTTTCTATGGATAGCGAACTGTGGGCATTGAAAAAAGCTACACACGCAAGTCTTTGAAAGAAATAACCCAGCGCCAAGTTTTTTTTTAGAAACTTATTTGTTTGCTACGAGACTGAAGCGATGAGCTGTAAAACCTACACATTGCAACTTAAATCGATACTTTGCAACAAAGAGAACTGCACTTTAGTGAAAGATGTACGATTTTCGTACATCTGACATCATCTAGTGCATTAGTTAGATTACTGGAACTTGAAAAAATGGCAATACTCGCGAGATTACCCATTTAGAGTGTAATCTCTGCTTTTTCTCTTGTCTTTTCATCTTACCATAAATTCTTATTATGGTGTAATTTTTGTTTATAAAGATTTGTTCTGCATTAGAATTACATGAGGAACAGATAGAAGAAGTTATGCTTTGTCAGTTAGATTGCGGTCCAGTCATAAGAAGTAATCCCAACCTTCGAATAGCAAACTTGTAAAGTTTTCCACATTAAGGAAGAGATTCGTTTTTGGGTTAAAGGTCTAGTCGCCAACCTCGCTAAGAAGGATAGTCAAATGCATTGGTTCTGGCACTACTAATCATCTACTACGATTAAAAAACAAGAAATTTTAAAAATCTGAGTATTATATTTGAATGAAAATGAAAATATCAAAAATTCTGAAAATTCTCGGAGAGTAGTAAGGTCAAGTTCAGCTAGATAATGGAATAAAAGCTAGAGATGCGCGTACCCATATGAATGACCCCGGATAACATTCTGTGTAGGCAGAAATCGCCACTAATGAGGATAAAGCCCTAAAACACACATACACCCGGAGAGCTGTAAACGCTATACGTCGAGCATTAGCCGGGTGCACTGGCTTCAGCACATTACCCTCCTATGGATAGCGATTATGCCGTTTCCATAACGATATTCAAAAAGGGAAAAGATTGTTTTCAAACTAAATAAAGGGAAATGGTTTTTCTTGGTTCATTTGCACCACTGCTTCAATGGCGTCGTCTCTAGGCAGGGATTCAGCCCTGCTAGGAATCGACTTAAGATTTTAGTCTTTTTCTGAAGTTGCCCCTAAAAATTTTTCGGAGTTTTTTTTTTGAATGACGGTGCGTGGCGAAGGCCACGCACCGTCATTTGAAAAAAATTTTTGTCGCGCCCCCCCCCCCCCGAGCGGAAATTCTGGGTACGCCACTGGTATTATAGAAACAGTGAGAGCTTAACTTAAAAGCGAAAGGTGGGACTATTCACACTTGATTTTATTACTTCTATTACTTTGCCTAAAGTTAAATTTATAATAATCGAGGTTGACAGTTTCTTTTTTATGAGAGCTACCAACTTTTGCAGACAGCATCAGCTCAAACCATTCTTCTCTACCATGCACAAAATTGTCCAAATCGCAGCTTTCGGAGAAGCTCCATGAAGAGCAAGTGATTTTAGAAAATTTGCCAAAATGTTACTAAAACTCGTAATTATACTAGGTCTGCTAAAATCGAGATCAGCAAGATTTTTTGGAGGTTTTTATTTTCATTATTATTTTTATTTAATTATGGTTTTTTGAATCATAGGCTTACATTTCTTTCCTTTATAGCACTATTTATAGAAATAGTATTTTTCAGAATATCTCATTTAGAGAGAAAGAACGGTATAGTTGAGGTTATTTTGATTTTCAATTTATTTATTTATGGTATGGATCTTTCCTCACTACCGATGACTTTTGGGGAAGGTAGTGATCTTTGCCTGGTTCCGTTTAATGTTAGGAAAGAAACGAAAATTACAAATTTGTTTTTAGTACTTTATATATTCTCCATAGCTTTATATGCACCATTACCCCTTTTGAACAATTTACCACGGCGAAAGTACTGCAAATGTTCCCAATTTCAATATTTATCAAATTTGGATCAAGAGGCTCTTCAATACATCCTCCTTATTAGGACAATGAATGAACTTTGTAAGTGTGGGGATTTTCTAAACCCCGAAAAATGTTCTAGACTCGATAACTGTCCAGTAATTAATAAAATGTGGGTATGTGACTATGATTTGACTGTCACAAAAATGTTTCTTTTGGCGTTGAAAACTGACCTTCATTAATTTTGTTTCGTCGATCGAATATCATCGACAACTCGCCATCGACAGAAGATGATTGCTTGTGAGCAAACTGAATGTGTTATATAAGTTAGGCAAACAGGCTCATAAGTGAGTAAGTGGATTCGCCATACCTGAAGTGGAGGATTGGGCTTGTTTTGCCTTTCGCTAAACATGTTCTGATCACCAGATGATGTTGAATCCAATGAGAATTTCTGCAAAAAGATTAATAATTTCGTCTTCTGCCAGAAGTTGAAGGAATTGGGAATTGGGGGGAGGTTGATTTTCTTGCTACAGAGAACAAATAATCTGAATTACATGATTCACTTATTATTTAAAGCCCTCATGTGAGACAGACAACCCAGCTTTGAAGTTGACTTATAGCGGAATGATTCGACTAGGCCTCTTCTGGGAGGACAAGCAGCACAGAATTAGCGTATAAAGATGGAGCGTTTGTGCTACATGTCCGAGCTCAGTGTCGATGGTGGACACTCCTCAAGGGCATTTCATCTTATTTAGCAACAAGCAGAAAAGAACAAATAGATTCCATTCTAAAATTCTGGTTTTTCGAGTTGATGACATCCACTACAAGGAAGTTCAAAAAATAGGGACGTTTGCCATCGAGAAGTTGCACGCACATCTGGCACAAGTTACGCATATTTGAGCAGTAGTAAGTACCTGTCGTCCGGAGGTGAGCCTATTGACGGTGTAAGTGCTCTGCCCAAACAAACGTAAGAGAAATGGCAGGTTTGGTATCCATGGAAATTTGCTGGGATATAACCAGCAAGCTTTTTTACCAGCAATAGATATATAGGTGAAAAGGCGTGGAAAGGTGCAACATCAATTTTTCGAGGAGTGATCAATCATTCTAGGACTAGGATAAAAAAGGACAAAATGAAAGGGCAAGAGGCACTTTATTCTCGCCTCTACGTTTGCAAAAACTGCTTTTTAGCAAATCGCAGCTCTTTGTTTGAATTGCGAAGATTTTTATATTGTTTGAGTAGTCATAAAAGGATGTGGCTGGAGGAGTGATAAAAAGGAAAGAGAAAAAGTCTACTGAAAGCAAAAGTGAAGGGAGGATAAGCTTAGATCGATGCTATTTCGTCACCGCTAAGAGAATTCCAATCTAGCAAATGCGAGAAATTCCTCACACAGCGTTGAAGTCGGACAATTTTTCTAGCACTTTAGCTATTTTATCCAAATATATTTGATGTTTGGCAAATTGCAAATAAATCAATTTGTGTCCATTGAGATGACCAGATGAACAATCTAAATAGCTGAGAGTTTCAAAATTTGATGTGGATCTGATTTTTATGTAAAATGTAAAAGTACACAGTTCAAGAAATAATGTTCACTTACCAAACTTCATCATGAATTATTTGAGAGAACAAGCGTAAAAGATGTACGAGAATGAAACAGCTTTTGATTCAGCAGGATTGCCGGCTGGAAGGCGACCGCTCGCACTCGCGACGCACTCTGCGTCTCCTTCGCGAGCATGCTCTTTGGTCATCCCCTAGTCTTGATTAAGCCTGGAAGCCCCGCTTTCCAGCCGTCAATCCCGTTTGATTGAAGGATAGATGTGGATGCGAGATTAAGAAAATCCTGGTTAGATGATGATGCGTCCTTAGAAAAAATAAACCACTCGTAACCGTTCCTGGGAAACCCACCCTCCCCCCCCCATGCAGATAATCGCAATCCAGACTTTCCGGCTCTTTCTGGTGCTTTTACGCTTTTTGGGCTTTTTTAGGCGCTTTTGGGGGTTCTCCAGAGAAGCATCACGGGTCCTTAGACTTTTTCATGTTTTAATGGATATAGAGAAAATTTTGGTATGTAAAGCTAATTCGAAAAAAAAAACTGAAAAATTTTGCTGTTGGGGACGAGTAGCATAGTGGTACGAGGGGCCGCCAGAGTTCGATCCCTCTCCTGGGCCAAGTAAGCCCTCTATCCTCGGGGTAAATTACCGGAGGTGCCGGGAGTATAATGGTGTTGACTTGGTAATCTGTTGGCCTTCACAAAGTCATTGTATTATAAAAGGCGTGCACGAGTTCGCTATCCTCCCACGCAGCAGAATTTTTTTAGCGCATGGCCGCAGAGGGCAGGGAAGCTTTAGCCCTTTTACTCTGCAGTTGAAGTTCTTTACAAACGTATTAATGAAACCCTTCAAAAAGTTATTGGATCTCCTCACATTTAGACAAAGAAGTCAGTTTTCGTGAATGAATTTGACTATAGGCACGCGCCATTCTTGATCCACTTGACCCGCTTGTTTCATTTCATCCAGATATTGGTCAAACTCTATTTGACCCACTTGCACTTTATTCAGTTCGCCATTGGTCAGTTCACTGATGAGACCAATTGAAATGGATGAAGCGGATCAAGTGGATCAAGCGGATCAAGTGGACCAAGTATGGAGTGTGCCTTATGCCCACCGAAATTACTTCTCAATCTTTAACTTTTGAAAGCAAACTTTCCAGAACCTTAATAAAAATAAGACAATTTCAGTGTTTCTAATTCGTCACAAAAATTTTTTTTACAATAATTCTTCTACGAAGTTCTATTTCAGTCAGTGTTTGTGGTGATGTCAAATGTTCATACAAGAATATGTTACTAGTGGTTTATCTTTTAACCCAATGGTACTCCGAATTTGAGTCCTGAAACAAAAAGGGGTGACATAGCAGTCAGTAGCCAAGAACATGCAGCTTCAAATAGCAAAGCAAAAAAAGTGCGCTTCTCAACATTTGTAGCGTTTTCGCACGAAGGCAGGCTGGATATAGCCTTTGCATATGATTAGTAGCGCTTTTTGCATGTATCATCTTTCACCACTGCACTTTCGTTAGCAGATAATGAGCTAATAGTGCAAGTGCACACACGCTAATAATTCACTACAAATAGTCATTTAGTAGTGATGCACTTATTATCGTCTTAGTGTTTGGAGAGAGGCCTAAAAATCGCTAAAATAAATTATACAAAGTGAGTCGATAAGCGTTCGCAGGGTGATAGTCATCTTAGCTTTTTGAAAAACATGGTTTTTTAGAACTATTTCTCTGCATCTTAATCTGATAACCATATGAAAGTAGTCATAGCCAGAGATAGAAATTTTTATAGAGCCAGTTTTGTACTACAAGTAAACTAGCGCTCTTGCGTCGCAGACGGCACTTAGGCGAAAATGGCAGTGCGCGCACTCATAACAAGTGCGCTCTATGGCCACACGCACGGATGTTGTCGGCACGCAGCACTCTTTTCCGCGCAAATATTGTTGGCACCGCAGCCACATTAAACGTCAAATTTATGAAATGCACCGTTACGTACAAAATGTATGCGTATGGCAGCAGCTTAAGGTTTCCGCTAGGAAACCAAGATGCTTGTCAAGCGGCAAAAACAGGAGCTGAGCTGGTAATCAAACAGTCCTGGCACGATATAGTGAAGTGTCGCATGAGTGGGCGGAGCTAAGAGTTGCTAAGAGTATTGCAAGCAGTCGTCTTAGGGCAGGGCATACTTCACGCGATTTGGCAATATTCCAACTGTTTATAGCTCACTTTAAGCAGATTTCAAATGTACAGAAAACAGGGAATTTTATCAATCCACTCAAGTTATACACACTATGCATGGCAGTTCACTAGCGTTGGATCTGAGGATTTCTGGCGAATTGCCAAATCGCGTGAAGTATGCCCGGCCCTTTACGCGTTCCACCTTTGCTATGTTCAAAAGTATCAAGATTTTAGAAAGTAGCTTTAGTAAGTTTTAGTGCAAACTTTCACGTCATATATTTCTAACAAAATTACCATAGATTTTTTTTCGAAAAGGTCAATCCAAGAATCTTTGAGAAGATCTTTGCGGGAAAACTTCCCAAAGGAATTTGGTATATTTAACGACTCTAAGATGATTGTTTCGGGACATATCTAATATTGTCATAATCAAGAGTGCTGGGAAGATAGTAGAGAGAGAAGAATTGACCAAGCCAGCTTAAACAGGAGCACTTGAAGCGTAAAGAAGTGAAGAAGTTAAAGGCGGCGACACTATAGTACTATGCTGAAGAGAGGCGAATGAAGCCAGATGTGTCGTTGTGGCATTGAAGATGAATCGCTCTGACAGCCGCCTGGCTGTGGGTTTTAGAAACTAATTATATGGCTGCTATGGCTGGACGGTGTTCAGTAAAGTGGAATTGCTGAAAGATGGCTTTAGTACAAAATAGATCAATGGAGATGTCTAGAAAGAGCAAAATTTGAGCATAAGAGAGCTTTAACACATTCACAACAATATGACCCACCGGTGGGCCGCAAGATTCCTGAAGCTCTGTTGGTAATCAGCGCCTTCATAACCTTGTGTGAAATTCCCGGCAACACACTTTGATTTTTTTCCAAAAAACTATCATCTCGGACAATACGACCCACCGGTGGGTCATAAGATTCCTGAAGCTCTGTTGAAATTTGCGCCTTCGATAACCCTTGTGGGGGGATTCTCAGAGACACGTTTTGAATCTTTTCCAAAAATACTACCATTTCGGATACGACCCACGGGTGGGTCATAAGTTCGACAAAGCGGAAAAGGCTCTGATTCGAAACGGCAGTAATCGAAAAGTCGGCCTTGTTGTGAATTTTTTAAAGAAACATGCATAACTGGACAAAAAATCCATGATTTGTCCATTCGCGACCGCTGAAATCAAGCGTAAACTCACAGAAGAGGTATTTTTTGCGACCAACCAATCAGCTTTCTTGTGATTACGGTAGAGGATACGGTATGGGCACGTTTATGGTTGTATTTCACAGCCACGAATGAATGATTTGAGCTGCCACTTGTGCAATCGTTTGCTTAAGGCCCCCTAATTGTTTCTCAAAAGGAAAATTTAACGCAAGTTTGCCTGAGCGCTTCTATTTTTTGTAATTTCAACAAGACAAAGGAAATATTGACAAAACCTTATTTAGCAAGCAATGAAGGGGATAGGAAGAAGGGGCCAACCAAAAAATATTTAACAAACATCTCAAGTCCAAGTAAGCAGATTGATTTAAATATCTCAATGACCAACAGCGGTTTTGCTACCCCCCCCCCTTCGACTATTTCAAGAGCAATATCTAGGTCAAGATGAATGAACACTAAACGAATCCTTGCAAGAACCAAAGATATCCGCTGAGAAGCACTTCGCACTACCCTGTGGTTGGCTTCCGATAATTACTAGCCTTACGCTCCTCCTATCGGGGGAAATGAAAAACGGGCAAGGATGACGTTCCCCAGAGAATTTTGTAGGATTCGTTCGCATTAGTACCGGTAGAAAAGGCTTTGTTATGCGGAAAGGCAATTGGGAAAATGAAATTTTTTCATTATTCATAAGAAAATTTTTTTAGTGGAATGGAAAAGTTTCTGGAAACAAAGAGCAATTTTCCACTAGCTTTACCACCAAAAAAACGTACTTTAGTAATAGCTGGAGATTGTGGTCGACTTAGTGGCTTCGGTGGAGGTACCGGAGGCGGACTACGAACACTGAAATATTTTCTCTCAGAAAATGAAGAAAAGAATAACGTAGCAGATAGCAAAATGTAGTAGAGCATGGTACACAAAAATTTTCTGGCGCAAATGAAAAATGCTGGCATCATTGGCACTTTATATTTGCTGAGAGAACTGCATAGCAACACATCGTGTAATTTGCCTGAAGAGATGTCCTGACCTGTGGAGGCACCTTAATTATGCGAACTTTTATGACCTAAGAGTTTAATTGCCCTGGGTTGGCTAGAAAATGGTCTTCTTCTCACAATGATTGGGCACAAAAAATTGAGGTAAATGTTATTGAAAAGGGAAATTTTTTTAGTTGAAGTGCCCTTTCCATATGACACCTACATCACCAGATGCTCTTTGAACCTGATTCCAAAGCCGCTTTCTTTTCTGCTGAACAACTCTCCTAATGAGCTGTGAGTGTTTAAAAGATAAATTTGGATTGTTATGAGTGGCACAATATTTGCAAAAACTGTACAAAAACAATCAGAAGTTGGTAATTATGTATCAAGTATGTTAACTACAATGAAGGAACAGCCAGTGAAAACCCTGATAAGTGTTTTTGTACGTTTCTCGTTAATGTGATGCCACCTAAGGCTTGACAAATTTAGACTTTATACCCATAACCTCTCTCGGAGAGCTGACAGAAAAGGAAGACAATTTTGGAAACCATGTTCAATGCTCTACAAAGTATTTTAGGTGTCATGTGGAAAGACCACTTCAACAATGTTTTCCTTGTAAAAATGTTTAATTTAAAAAATCACGGGCTTTTACTGTTTGTAGTATGGAAGCAGAATTCAGCCGCTTAGCAAACCTACAAAAAAACCACATCTGTAAAAATTTACTTCGAATATAGCAAAGATTGGCAATCTCAAACGTTGACTATTCGATAAATAGGAAAGAGATCGAGTTCTACAGGAGTAGTTTTTCCTAGTTTCGAATGCGGAACATTCCTCAAATTACCGGCAAAAGTGGGCCTGAAGCTATTAGGTTGTAAAGAAAGTTCCCGGGCACTTTTGGAAATTTCATTTTCAAACGCATTTTTTCGGCGCTCGGTCGGACTTTAACAACTAGTTTTTCGTACCTTTCAGTAGAGGGAAGCCTAAACCCGCTTTTGATTTTTATCGATGCCAAAACGTGTCTGATCTGCACATCAAAAAAGCAAACCTTCCCGACCATGAAAATTTCACAATTTTTCTTTCTGCGGCCATTTTTTTGCGCAGTTCACAGAATTTCGTCCAAATTATGGGTGATCTGATTGAGAAGTCTGTTGACTACTGACCCGCAGCTGTACTCGAGTTTGGCGATCTGCGCTCAGAAATTACAAGTTGTCGAACTTGCAACTGTCTGCATTTCTTTTCGCAGCTGGCGTCGCTTCTGCGGGTATCGCCACGCCTGGGTGATGGGTCCAAAAGAAGTGTAAGGCATTACCCCAACAAGATTCGCAGTAATCAAAGATTTGGTCAGCTCTTTGCAAAACGAGAAGACTTCAAAGCAACTTACTCGAAAAATGGTGCATTTTTGGGGGAAAAAATGGTCGGTTTTTCAAACTTTCTGGGGGAAATTTTTTTGAAGGGAGTCCTTCAAAAACACGAATGGTCCCCAAAACAGCCCCGGCAGATCTCTATATAACTACAACATCTGAGCTTTCCAGCTCTCATCCTGCATGAGATAATCCTGTGCAAATAGGCCACTTTTACCGACGACCTTTTTCCCTTCTGCGCATGCTGGTGGACCGCAGTTAGGTGCTGAGAAGCCAGCAAAACAAACATATGTTGTGGACAAAATTGTCTTTGCAATGAAGTTTGGAGCTTTAGAAAAGAATCAATCTGCTTGAAGTTACAGCGATTTGAAAAAAAATTTCGCAAGTGCCCGGGAACTTTCTTTACAACCTAATATTTGATTTGATATGTAAAGTGGCTATTTGAGGCACAAATTTTCAAAAAAATTTTTTACATGTGTTCTTGCGTTCTTCGGTGTTTGCAATTCATTTTGCAAAAATTATGAAAAAGTTAGCGTTCTATTCACTTTGGCCATTTCTTTATAAAAGAAAAAAGATTCTTCCGAAATGTACGCCATTATCTGATACTTTTTGCTTTATGTCTTTCGAAACATTACGAATAAGTTTTCTGAGAGCTTCAAGCAGCGGGACAATAAGTTATCTTCTAGCTTACCTGATGCATATACTCAATTTGTGATTTCCAAAGAAAATGCAGAAAGTGTGTTGCGCGCATAAAAAGCAATATTTTTCGAGAGCGAATATTTTTTCTCGATATATGTAGTCTATTTTACGATTTCTCAGAGCGTTAGCAAAGTATTCCTTCTTACAAACTCGTAGGCTACTCCAGTCTATGACGGACACCTTGTTTTATTTCGCTAAATTGTGTTTTTTCTGAGAAAAGCAAAACAAAGTCGATTTTTTGCAAACATGGTAAAGCTTACCCATTTTCTCGCTGAATCATCTCCAAAAGCTCCCTCGATGGTGAAAATGACTTCTCGCTGCTACCCTGCTTCATTCCTCTCAGCACAATCATCTCTTCCACATTGGTCTTATTTTTCTTCAACTCCTCGAGGATCAAATGCCGAAGGTCATCAGGATCCAATGCGCTTTTCAGACTGCTAGGCTTTTCTACAGATCCTTCTCTGGAGAAGTTCTTAACAAGCTGTGGAGGCGGAAATGATGGCGGCGGAGGAGATGATACTGATGGATGTGCGGGGGATTGTGAATTTAGAGGTGAGGGAGATTTTGTAAAGGATTTTTGGTCCGTATGGTCAGCATGTACTTCGGCTTGGGTTTCGACCACATTGTTGGGTGTGAAGAGGTTATTCTGCTGTGGTTGTTCGGTCACAGGTTCGGTCGAGGGCTTGGAATCCGTCTGTTTCGGTTCGACATGGTTCTGACTGGGCTCGGCTGTAACTGAATTTTCCGAATTTGAAAAAACAACAGCAGAATTCGGACTTGGCGTCTGTGCATAGTGCTTTTTCGACCTCTGAGCAGCCAGCTTCCTCTCCAGCTCTTCTCCTTCATCCTCAGGACTCGGTAACCGTCTCGGCTCCGTCTTATGAACATGATGCTGGATCGGAATCACTGGACAGCGACTAGCTGGTGGAGCTGGCAGAGGCTGTTGATCCTTGACTAGTAACTCTCCAATGGTTGTCTTTGGTGGTGGAGTCTTTGGGAGACTGTGAGCGGGGCTGTTTCTACTTCCAGGGCTACCAACCCGATGCGGTTCAAAGGATGTGTCCACAGCTATCGGCTTGATTGGATGTGTAGATTGAACTGCGTCGGATTGTGTTGTACGCGTCGAATTGACATCGTCGGGATTCGTGACGGGAACCTAAATATAGAAAATGGTGGCATGCAAGTATTTAGGCGAAATAATTGATTTGCTCTTTGACAACGTTAATCATTGCAGTTCTGCAGTTCGAGTGGAAAGCGCGGTGATTACGCGACGCGTTTTTGCAAAGGACGTTGTCGGAGAAAAAATTGTATATTTCTTGCATTACAGTATGCTACAAAAGTTGCGGAAACAGTTCAGTCGTCCTTGCTCCGCCAACAAAATCTGACCAATCGCAACCAGCGTTGACCAATCAGAGACGCGCTGCTTTGGAAAGCGTCACGAATGGCTGTTTTCTCGATCATATACTTTTATTTGCGTAGCCAAAAAATCTGCGCTGTGTAGTCCGCGCTCAGCTTGTCAATGAAATCATGTTATTTACAGTGATATGCAGTTTTCATGTGCTAGAAGGCTTGAACTAACGTTTCTGTTCATTAAAAATGGATTTTTTTCAAAAATTTAGGATAATTACGACTTCTTTTAGATTGCTGAGAATTTTTGGGGAAGTCATTGAAATAAAGAATTGGTGAGTGTTGCATAGCGAGAAGTTACCATATGTATGAGAACAAGTTACCATATGTACAAATAAAAAGGAACTGGAGCTTTCTCGAAAGGAATAGTTTGCATTTACCAATATCGTATGATCTACAGTATCCAGGCTTCTCTAACGAAATAGCGCATCCGTAAAAAGCCATAGTAATTATTATCATCAAAAATTCACCCCCTCTCCCCCTCAATTCGTTCTTTCGGCGAGGTTCCGTGGGCCGATGGCTACGAAGAAAAAAAAAACGAATGCGATGGACAGCAGCTGCTCTCAGTGTTCACATCCATTTGACTCATACGCTCACCGCCGTAAAACCGATTAATGGCAAACGGATTTCTATTAGCTTTTCCAACATTAATTCCGAGAAATGACAGACGAAAAACACGTGATTGACAGCACTATACAGCGCTAACCTAGTGGCAGATATATTCCAAAGTTAGTAGAATCATGCACTAAGAAATTGTCGGTTTCTGGGACGAACAGCTCAGTATCAAGTAAACAAAGTGTGTAGAACTGGACGCGCCTTTTGCCACTACTGTGAGATACGGTGGAATAGATTCCACGACATATATGAACACAGCATTACACTATCTTATATATAAGGCTGAATGTCTGTTTGTATGTATGTCTGTATGTATGTATGTCTGTGTGTACGTATGTTCCGAATAGAAAATTCCATTTCTGAACCGATCCGGACCAAACTTGGCACACATACACTACGGGCCCCGGCGGGTGTCATAGGCTACTTTTCGTCATCGATCGATATCGATTTTATCGATTTTTATCGATTTTTTTGCTGAGTTCACCTACGGGGCTGGGAGTTGGCACAGGGGGGTAATCGAGCATCGTAATCTGCATGCTCGATTACCCCCCTGTGCAAATCCCAGCCCCGCAGGTCAAACTTTACAAAAAAATCGATAAAATCGATAAAAGTAATGGACGATCCTGAAAACTAATATTGTGTTCGTAATCAGCATGCTCGATTACCCCCTGTGCAAAATCCCAGCCTCGCATGTCAAAATTTACAAAAAATCGATAAAATCAATAAAAGTAATCGATAATTCTGAAAACTAATATTGTATTCGGAATCCCCATGCTCACTTCCCCCCCTGTGCCAACTCCTAGCCCTGTAGGTGAACTCTGCAAAAAATCGATAAAAATCGGTAAAATCGACATCGATCGATAACGAAAAGTGGACTGTGACACCCGCCGGGGCCCGAAGTGTATGTGTGCCAAGTTTGGTCCGGATACGGCGGAGCCGGGTAAGCCAGCTAGTAAGCTATAAATGAATATAACATTACACACTATAAGTTCCGAAAATGGATTTATCTACAAGTTTTCAATAGTCTAAATTCACACAGACTCTATCATACCGCGAAAAAGTCACCATGTTCCGTATTTATAACTATTTCAAGAGAATCAGTGATAACTATCTCTTCTTGGCATTTTTTGATTCCATGAAGTTGAAGAGGACCAACTAGGTAAATCGCTGTTAAAGGAAAAGACACTTTCATCCAACTAGATAAAGAGGTTGAATCTGAATATGGATTCTGATGCCCCTCCAATTGCTGTTTTTGTTATGATGTGGTCCAGCTATTACCGTACACTTGCCATACTTCGACAGATTACTTCAGCGCTCGGCACAAGGTGGCTTTCCGGAAATGCAAAAAACAAAGTCCCCTACCTCCCCAAAATTTCACAAAGTCCCCTTTGGCCCTAAACCATGAACGTAATCGAAAAAACGAGACGTCAATCAAAAAAAACGTGAGCTAAAATGTTTTTTCAGCCACAAAAACGATATTACCTTTGCTTTTTGTCCCAAAAAATGATATCCAGCTTGCTCGTAAGCCACCTGTACTGATCCCTGGATTAGCTAATGAATTTAGTGAAAAGCAGAACATAGTCACGATCCAGAAATTATCTCTTGCACACGCAATAGCGAAGTGAAACGAATTTTTTTGTGAATACTGAAGTTTGTTGGTTTTTGTGACATTACTCGGTATACACGTAAGCAGGCAATTTCTCAATCGTTTCTTTATTTCATTTGTCCTTATAAGTATGTCTACATTTTAACGTCTGTGAAGAAAAAGTGCTGAAAAATATAATATGCGTAAAACAGACCGCCTCAGCCGATAAAATCTATCCCGAAGGATATGTTGAACTTATAACACAATGTTATTCATAATAATAACTCTGCAACTGGCTCCGTATCTTTGAAAGTCTGTCGGCCCACACCCTTATTTTTTATCTCGCTAAAAATCAAAGGTGATCAATAAATCCCAGTGTTAAGTGTCAGCTTCCGTACTCCACCGTTCTGGGTTTTATCCGCACCTTTACAACTGTTATGTGCTCGATGGATAAAAATGTAACATTCGCACCTGGTGCAAAAGTGTTGCCAAAGTTCTTGTGCAACTGATGCATCGAGCAGAACATGGAAGGCAGCTCGTTATCAAGAAGCTGGCTCAAAAAAATTGGTTAGAAAGCTTTTGTAGAGACGTCAACTCGCTATATTCTTGTTAAGCAGCTTGGAGGAACTTCGTTTGCATCTAATAGAATGCAGTAATAAAAAATCTGGTATCAGAATTTTGGGCTGTTGAAAACAAGTGAAGATCTTTGATACGTCATCTGAGTATTTCCTCATTATGCAGAAGTAAAATTTGATCACATTTTCATGACTATCTTGCCTTCTTCTGACATTTTATTCCTTATTCGAATTACGAAAAAGAAAAATACCATAATTTTTGATTTGGATGCATCATCAGATAATTTCTCTCTTTGGAAAATACTAGGAAATGACGAAAAATCAGACATTAATGAAGATGAAGTACGAATTACAGCAAGTTCGGTCTTTCTAAATTGAAAATTTCTAGCGAGTGTCACACAATATTTAGAAAATGATGCTTGTGCAAAGAAAGTCGGCGCAAGTTACAAATTGTCCAGATTTCAAAAATTTTCTTTCGAAGAACAGCATAGATGCAGAAATATAAAAAGTCAATAGACAAAAGTAAATTTGATATAATAAAAGCAGATTGTGATTCACTTTGACACTTTTACGACAATACGACCCTCCAGTGAGTCGTACGTGTCCTGTCGTTTCGGCAACATGACCCACCGATGGGTCGCACGCTTTCTGAAGTTTTTGACTTGCGTTTAATATCAAACTTTCTTGGCAAACTGAATACATTTCTGTATACGTCTCTTGGAATATTTCTCAGAAGATTAACACTTCAGATTATGGGACCATCAGTGGCCAGAATTACGCAGACTCACTTTAAAAAAATATGCTCTGGTCAGAGAAAAAGGGGCCTTGTCGTGATTGTGTTGATTTGAAGTTTTTCGTATAATTATAATAGGTTTAGAACAGTCAGATTTGCATGTACTATTGTAACTTCAATAAAAAATCGATAATTGATTGACTCTGACTTTAGTACTGGGCTGATTTACCTCGGCATTGACTTAAATCCAGAAATCCCCGGTGCGCGCCGCAAATCCTCGAAAGCAGGTGAGCGCTCTTGACTTTTCGCAAGAATATAGTTCTCGCAGTGTTTACAAAAGCAAGTGCGCAAAACAGCAGCAGCAGCAGCAGAAAACATCGCGCGTGTGCACGCGCGCGCGCTCTGGAGGAGCGGATGCCGCGCGGAAAAATGAGCGTGCAAGAGGAGAACGAGATGTCCTTACGTGATTGTTGTTCTCTTCACTATGTTCGTTGGCGTGTTCGTTCCGTTTTAGTGTTCGAGCGATGAGGTCATCAATTGACACCGAATCGTCAGCAGCAACATATGGATTCGGAACAATCTGGGATCATCGATCTTCGATTTTTTGGGGTTTGAGAAATTTCTCTCGGAAAATGTGAGGAAAAAGAACCTTTTCTGGCAGAACTGGAGCTGGTGGAGGTTCCTTATGAGGCCGAAAATCTTCTTCATCTAGGCTGTCGATATTTTCCAAACGCCGTGCCAGTTTTGATGCCAATTCTGGATCGGCCATGATACCTTAAAAGAGATTCTTATATTGCGGGCATAGTACTGATAAGGTTAATAAGGCGTACAGTTTAAAAAAAGTAGATCAAGGACGATAATATTTTAGAGAAAACCAAGGATGACCATTTTTGGAGTAGATCAAGAACGACCGCATTTTTAAGTAGATCAAAACGGACCACATTTCATCTGGCAGAATTCAGATCACAAAAAAGCCGAGTAAAATGTTATACTTCAAGAGAAAGCGGAAAGTCGTACAACTACATTTATTTACAATCACAATTACACACTTTGAATTTTATCAGATAAAATGTACATGCTTTTATCTCATTTTTCTTATTCTCAGCGTAGTAAATAAATGACGTTATTCAGACCTAAGTAAGATAAAAAGCAATTCACGATTAGGGGCTAACAAACAGCTTTCTTGAAAAGTAAGGGATCAGAGCGGGCTAGGTTTGAGAAGATCTATAGGACTTCTTTTGGTGAATGACCCTCACTGAATACTATAATAGAATGAAATATGTTTTAAACCATAAAATGAAATTAAAAGCTATGATTTTGCCATTGGTGTTAATTTTTCAACAATTTCCTTTTGAGGGTAATCGAATGACCATGTAACAGATAAGATCTTTTGTTCCAGTGATTCCTTTAGCAGTCACACCCTTGAATAATCAATAAGGAAAACAGTATCAAAGATACAACTAAATCTTTTTTCCAGTTTGTGTATTCCTGATAAGATTGCCATAAAAGTGTCACAACAAGAGAACGAAAAAAGTCGCTACCTAGTCCCACGAAGTAGTTGTAGGTTATCAAAAAAAAGCTAGGTTGAACCTATGGAAAGAGAAAGGAAGGAGCTGGATACACACTGACACATACGAGCACAAATCATGCTTACTTTGTAGCGCTTTGTAAATATTTTCGGTCGATTCAAAATTCATAGGAAATATCCGATTCTATAGTTCAATTATAGTCTTGAAGGTTTAATGGTAAAGGGGAAGATTAGTGAATTTCAGACAGTCTTCTTCTCAGCAAATAAATCTTCCATGTTTTGCGAAATGTACCTATTCCATTTTTCAGTGGTTAGCACACCGTCAGTGTTTGTTGTGGAAAATACATGCGACAATGTTTGTCCCTTACGGTAGCTTACTGTCGTACCCTTACCGTAGGCAAACAATGACTTGTACTGTATAGGTGATACACGCGAATAATTCCTCCTTGGTATGAAAACAATCACATAAACAATATGAATTTCCGTTTTTTGCGGGTTCTTTGGCTTATTTATAACTAGCTGGCTTACCCGGCTCCGCCGTATGTTCCGAATAGAAAATTCCATTTCTCAACCGATCCGAACCAAACTTGGCACACATACACTTCGGGCCCCGGCGGGTGTCACAGTCCACTTTTCGTTATCGATTGATGCCGATTTTATCGATTTTTTGCAAAATTTGAGCTAGGGGGCTGGAGTTTGGCAGGGGGTGTAATCGAGCATGCTGATCACCCCACGGGGGTGATCAGCATGCTCGATTACCCCCCTGTGCCAAATCCCAGCCCCGTAGCTCAAACTTTGCAAAAAAATCGATAAAATCGATAAAAGTAATGCACGATTTTAAAAACTAATATTGTATTCGGAATCCCCATGCTCACTTACCCCCCTGTGCCAACTCCCAGCCCCGTAGCTCAAATTTTGCAAAAAATCGATAAAATCGATATCACTCGATGACGAAAAGTAGCCTATGACACCCGCCGGGGCCCGAAGTGTATGTGTGCCAAGTTTGGTCCGAATCGGTTCAGAAATGGAATTTTCTATTCGGAACATACGTACACACATGCAGACAGACATACAGACAGACATACAGACATACAGACAGACAAACAGACATTCAGCTTTATATATAAGATTACTAAAAATCTAGAGCTCTTTGGATGCAAGTTAATCTTACCAAAAACCTCATAAAGCTCGAGTTAACTTATCGTAAGTAATTAGCGTGGTATGTCAGCAAAAATATAGAAGGGAAATCAAGAATATACCTGGAGTCAGAGACTGCAATTATGTAACTTGACATTAACAAAAGCGGTAGATAGAAACGCCTGAATCTGTTATTTTGTTTTTTCCTGAACTCGCTATTGCAGAAAAAATGCCATTTCATGTATTGCTCCTGCCCCTTACAATAAAAAAAGGCAATTCTCTAAATGCTTTGAAGAGTTTTTCACAAAAAACGCAAGATATGAAGCTGAAAAACTGAAAATAGTCTACATAATCTGTATGACTTGCTTGTATGAGCGAATAGCTAAATTTGTGGGTTTTATAAAAAACTGAATGAACCCTTTGAACATTTTTCACTTCAAAAGTTCAAGCTACGATTTTGCTAGCAATCTGAAGGCATACAATATATTTTTTTACTTCTGTCATCTCCACGTCTTCCCCTCGCATCCTAAGCTGAATTTAAGGCTTACAATTTTTCGGTCAGTAGTTGATAAGCAGTGATACAGAGAAATCACTCTTATTATTTCATGCGAAAAAACAACGATTAGAAAATTTCTGTGTACCGAATTTTGATTGAAAACTTCCTGTAGGTGACAAGTGTAGCTTTGATTATTGACAATCAGTTACATTTACGAAATCCATCAAGTTTTCTGTTTATCCATTGAGTCTTGAGTTTTTTTCTAACGATAAGATGTAAATCGCGCAGAATCGCTAGACAAGGACTCAAGAATTCCTTATGCAAAGGAATAATCAACACACGTAGTGTGAAAGCGAAAAAATAAATGAAACGGGAAAAAACTGCAAAAATCACAAAAGTCGGCATCGATCGAAGCTGAGCTAAATCCGTTCGAGCTGAGCTCGTAAAACGAAAGCATTCGGCTAGAAAATGACTGGGGCGTGACACAAGGGATAGACAGGCCCGAGGGTCGAAGCAGGGGCGATTTCGCCAAGCCGGATAGCCGAGCCGAGGAACCGACGACGGCCGCGACTGCAAATATCAGCTGTGCTGATCCTGACAGGCGCTGCTCTGGCTGCCCGGCAGCCCTTCGAGTGTGTAACCTCCGACTCTTCGAAATGCCTCTGACTCATCCCCTCCGCTAGATTATGACCGCTTGAATCCACAAACTCCTCATATTATGAGCATTTACGAGCTCGAAGCTCAGATGTGTTGACATCTTTAGTTTTCTCAAGAATTCTCATTTGATTCCGATCGGAAGACATTTTGTTTCCCAAGTGGCCGCTCAGATGAATTATTCAAGTTTCAAAGTCATACTCTCGTTTAGTATTGTACTTAAAGTTAGTCGGCTTGGTATGAATACGGTAATGGGACGAGAAAGGCGGTGCTCAACTCTAGCCCAGACCGTGCTCTCTTGAAGCGGACCAATCAGCGTCGCGGGCTTGGGGCATATGGTCCGGGCCTTACTAAAGATTGTATCATATAACGTGCCGCAGGGCATTCAAACAATAGCCTCCCAATCACTTTCCACGCAAATTCAGTCCTTAAATTTTTCTTCTCTATCCGCACTTCAATGCAATAGAGCGCAGACCTGATCAAAGGTGTATGCCCCTAGCTCTGGAATTACAAAACCACAAAGTTCTTTGTTTTGAACCAAATGAATAGCTCGGAGCTCGTCGACCCCATTTTTCTAAGCAAGTAAAATGTTAAAAAAGTCACGAAAATAATTTGTATTTGCGTAAATGGTCTTAATTAACAATAGATGAAAGCTTTGCCCTTTTCTTTTGAATTTGTTCTTCTTTTTCTTCGTTTTTCAATACATGATATTTCCATCATTCGTAGAAGTGCAGTTTTGATATTCATCAACCCATCAAAGTTAGTTAAGTCTGGTTTATCAAACTAAGCAAGGCTGATAACAGATGGAAATAGCAGCATTGGTTCTGTCCACATACTGGAATTTGTAAAAGATGGAATAAAACATTCCAAAAAAATCCAAAAGTTCTCTTCTGGAGCGTGGCTGTGTAAGACAATATTCCACTCTCTTCTCCACAATTAACAAGAATCTCATAAATACGTTTATGATGAGTCAAATTTCCACTTTCCCTTTCTTATGGACGCACATCAACAATGCAGGCTTGTGAGCAACGCATGTGAATTCGTTGGAGTTCAGTAGTTGATGATTTTTTGCCCTAAGTCATCAATGATTAATGATTGAATTTCGACAAAAGCACGCTTTTATCCCGCTGTTCATTATTCGTGATTGCATTTTGCGGGCTGATATTCATAAAGCTCCAAAATTCACCTCTGATCCATGGCGGAGTACTGGAAATGTTTTAAATAAGTGACTACTCCACCTCGCCTTCAGAATATGGATCGTGGGATTGATTCATATGTCCTCCTATCTGATGATCAAGGCTCGGCACGAGGTGGCTTCCCAAAATTGCAAAAAACGAAATCCCCTTTGACTTCACTATAAAAGTACGACATCCGCCATGAGATATTAGAAGAGAAAACACATGAAAAGGAACGGAAAACAAAACCAGAAAAATCGCCAAAAAACATCAAACAAACGCGATGATACTCATATTCTCCGGATTGACGGCATACTATATCCAGCGCGCAGCACTACACGCCTGGAGCAGCGTTGCCTCCGTCACTCAAAATTTCAGGGGGCTGTAACTAAGCGGGGAGGAACGGCTTTGAGGCGATTTAGGACCATTTCGCAGAGTTTGGGATGCAGATGAAATTTATATAGAGAAGGTGAAAAAGTTTTGTGAGGGAGCGATTAATCATGAATTCCTTTCCCAAGCCACCTCAAGTGGCTTCCGGGGGCTTGAAAGCCATCTAACTCCGAAATAAAGCTGAGCACACCTCCAGTTCACATAATTTTTTCATAATTTTTCTACATAGTCACAACTCCTCATTGACTATCTCCACACCAATTTTGGTGTCATTTCATTTTCACTTCGCTGTAAACGGACCCTTTGTTTGTTGAGGAGAGCATGCCGCTGGGATGCTGGCAGCGTGCTGGCGGCACGCGAACCCCACATAAAAGGTCAGCGGTATGCTATTCCGCAAAAATGGTATCCCCTTTGCTTTTTCTCCCAAAAACGATATACAGCTTGCTTGGTAAGCTACCTGTGCCGTGCCCTGCTAATGATTGCTTGTTCGCGTAGACAGCTGAAGATGAAAAAAGGATTTGTTCAATCAGCAAAAGCAATACGTTTGACATCATGTTTGACATTGGTAACACTTCAAAAAAAGAACAATTTTTGTAAGGAGCATCGCGACTTCGTCAAGAGTTGGAGAAAGTACGCAGGCACGTTTTTGACCAATCTTAAAGATGTTATATTTTATCTTCATTGAGTTGAAATTTAAGAAGCTTAAATCAGTTGAGATGAACTACCACGTTGTCTCGGTTGTAGCTCAAGTCGGTTTGTAGAAGACTGCCGAGTCTCCGGAGAAGGTGACTCCAATCAGAGCATTAGGTTAACTAATAAAGAGCGTTTTCGGTAAAGGTTACAACATCTTAAGAAGAGAGAAATAATCCACAGCTATTTCGAGGTTAGTAAATATTCGAGCTTGGAGTGTGAATTTATCTCAATCTTGTGAAAACCATATGGACCTAGAAACATAGACCTTAGACCAATTGTGATGACTAGCTTACACGACGTGAAAAATTAATCATATCTACTTATTGTCATCACCCTTTATCGAAGTGAAAAACGGCAGAAGACGAGAAAGTTTTTATAGCTTTACAGATATTGCAATCACTCTCACCCACGTATTGGCTTCTTATACACGCAGGATATTTGGTGAGCAGCAGATGAAGTTTGAGCCATGCGTGTTGCTTTATCGAACGTTCTTGTCAAAATACTCAGGGGATAATGAAATGACTGTGTTCTCGTACAGTCTTTGTTGCAGTTGCCTATGTATTCGTATAAGCTCGATCAATTCCTTGGACCACTATCACTGAAAGGATGAACGTTTTTCTGATATTTTCAGCTCCTCGTGGTGACAAATATCAGAAGAAGAAGAGGTGGCATCCCCGGAAGAAAAACTTCTAAGAACTTCAAATGCGTCGGAACGTAGTCTATCTAAAATTCCCTTGGATCCAACTTAGTCCTTACCGGGCATTTGTATCATAAGCCCCTTATTGCAGATATGCCGAGTGTGTGTAAATATAGTGAGAATAGTCGCAGCAGCTCAGTAGTTGTTCTCAGTATTCAAAGAACCTTTTACTTTGAAGGTAGTTTGTTAGATGCGATCCGACAACCTCATGTATTTCTTCCCTTAATTGCTTGAGTAGGGACCTAGTAACATCATTCCCACAAAAAGGCTTTTTTACGCTTACGTCATGTTCATCCTGCTTCTTATCATGTGCCCAAAGCGTACGTCAAAGCAGAAAGAGCTGTAAAGGGAAGTGCGCAAAGCAGAGTGTTCTTGGTCTTCTTGCTACGTCCGTTGTCATGTATGTTGCCCATGCTGCTGGTTTTCTCCTATTAAAATGAGTTCCGGGCCTAGATCGTCCACTATATTGACTTTTCGACCTGTTAGATGTAGCTAGAGCCTTTTGTAATTATCGTTCCATTAAGCATGAACAACACAGAGACCCATCCGTTTCTCACGAACGTCGTCTTCGTCAGATTCAGCATTAAACTGATCTTCCCACACACGTCGTCAGACTGGTTCAGTATCCATTCCATTTGATGTCAGGTGTGTCGGACTATTCCAGCGACAATGCGAAGGTGGTGTAGTTGCTGGCCTATCAAGAGCAGCGCTGGAAAATTTTGGCGATATGGTATCACCTTGTCCTCTTCAAGTCGATGATGATGCCCTTGTAGAACAGTGTGGTGCTAATTCTGAAGTTGCTCGGCTCACGAATAATCTTGGTGTACCTGATCACCTTGATCGCGCAAGGCATCGATGACAGCTTTGCAACCGAATATAAGGGCTTAGTCAAATCGATGAAAGTGAGACAGAGTCATTCTCTGCTCTTGCAATACTTCTTGATATCAGTAGCGTACCCAGGATTTCCGCCCGGGGGGGGGGGCGACAAAAAATTTTTCTGATGAAAACCCAGAAAAAATTTTTGATATGCTTCCCAAAATTTTCATGGGCCCATAACCTCAAAATTTTAGGAAAAGGGGGCGTGGCGTCAGCCACGCCCTCGAAAATTTTTTTTGTAAGGCTAAATTGAATTTTCAAAAAATTTTCAAAATCATTTTGATCACTTAAAAGTATAAACAAGTCATTTGCACATTTTTATAACTTATGTAAGTAACTTTCAAAAATTTCGCGACCCATTCTCGCCCCCGCCCCTCCGTACGCCACTGCTTGATATGTATATGTACTTCATTGTGCCAAGTCCGGAAACTTTTAGGTTGTCCCGGTTTTGTCGGTTTTTTAGACCGCTGTAAAACCACCTACAATAAAGATCTGAGTGAGTTTCAACAAGCAACCGATGCAGCGTTCCCTTCTCTTTCTTATGGTTACATTTTCATACCACAATCTTGTATGCTTTTTTTGAAAATTGCCAAAATCCTCCACCCGCCAATTTTACTTGCTCAAAGTTAGGCTATTTTTTTGAAAATTTCATTCCAAAGTTTCGAAAAGGGTTAAGTATGGATCAATTAGAGCGAATCTCGGACTACAAAGTAGTTTTCCTAGATTTTCCTGATCTGCTGTTTTTAGCTTCAAAAAATTATTTCTCCGGAGGTTTCGAGTTTTGGCAAAGTCATGAAACACGCAACTGTATAAAACACATGAAAGCTTTTAAAGTTTCTGCGTATTGAAACGTAATTCTTACTAAACATTATTTATGCAACATAACCTTTGATTCGCTTTAAAAAAGCAGCTTTTTGGAATTTTTGGTACTTTTACGTGTTAAACTCAATCAAAAAGCCGCGATTTTTATTGGATAAATAATTATAACGGACTTGGTGAAAGTGCTCAGTGTAAACTAAAGTGAATATGATGTGACCAAAGGTTTCCTCTACATAATAGTTATCAGCGCTGTTTGGAAACATCAGAATAAAAAATTCTAAAATTCAGGAAAGATTTGGCATTATTGCTGAGCTGCTCAAAATGCCATGGTGATAACATTGCAAAGACAGAGTAGATCAAGGGGCAAGTATAACCGTAAGAAAGAGAATAAAAGTCTGAATCAAATGGTATCGAAACCGTCCATGGATTAGTGTTCTGTGAGTTTTAGTGAGCGATCAAAGAAACCGACAAAACTTTCGGGACAACCTAATAGTTTGCTCGCATGGTTGTTCTTCATTTAATTCCCTTTCAATCTTGCTGAGCAGCAATTGTATAGAAAATGTGACTACAGACGCAAGCAGATACGGTGGTAATCGCCGATCGTTGTCCTGCTTCTTGTAGCAACACGGTCATGCTGGGTCTTTCATTCATCTGAAACCTTCCCTCAGGTACCGCAAAAAGACTTGCCAGTTTTTTTGAACGATGACGGCAGATTCTTCACAAAGGAGCTTCGCGAAGTCGAGATGGCCGATTACCGCAGTACATACCGTTACAAAGAGCTTGGAGCGCTGATTTCATATCTGCCTCCCATATCTGCAGAAAGCTCTCAAAATGAAGTTATGGGCGTTTTCATCATCAAAATTTACATGGTTTTCAGCGGCGACCACAAATAAAGGTATTCATTTAAATTGCTTCCTGCGCTATAAGAGAATACTCAAGAAGGTTGCATCACAACGAGGTCTGTCTCCGGACAAGAGGTCGATTTTGAGATTTTGTGCTTATCCGGGCCTATTAGCTATCTGAATCCGAAAATCCGCACTGAAGAGCGCAGAAACAGCAAAAAACGGCCATAACGCAGGAGGAAAGTCAACCTGGGCGGGATCTTCCTCAGATTGAATTCACACTTCCAGCTTCTGAGCAATCTTTGGGTCCGTCAAGTCACGTGTTCGCACTTGGCGGGGGCGATTTCAGAACGGCTAGCGCAATTAGGAAGATCGGCGGAATAGGAGATTGAATTTACATTGGGGAAGACACGGCTCATCTGCCGATACCCTACTAGCTTAGAGCTCTTTTACGCCATTTTCGCGCTCTTCAATGTAGGTTTTCGGATTCAGCATAGCGAATATGCCCAGGTAAGCACAATCTATAAATCGACTTTTTGCCCAGACACTGCCTTCAAGCATGGATAAGCTGGGTAGATTGAGTCTAAAACGCCTGGGTGATGGTAATTTTGACTACCCCAGCCTTGCGAATTTCCCGCAACTAGATGTCTAAAGCTTACTTCTCTGAGGAGTTTTGCAGATGTAGAGGGTAGATTTGAAATCAGTGCTTCAAGCTCTTCGTGATGATACGCATCTTCCAATGTTCGGTCGCTCCGATTTCACGACCCTCCCTTGTGCCTGTTCCGGAGTTTTTTTTTTTGAAAAGTGTGACTATCATAGCTCCAACCCCCCCCCCCTTCTTCGAAAAGACGAATTAGAATTCATATTTCCGCTGAAAAGATCCCGTGGTAACATTGAGATATCACAAGTTGATGCTATTCTCAACAACATCTGCTCATGTCCTATGACTCATTAAACCGTTTACCATTACAACGGACGAAAAGCCTAGTGTATAAACAAAGAATGACTAAGCTCTAGGTACTTCTGCTTTTGTTATATTTGTAGCTTTGTAACAGTCAACAAACTTGGAGAAGTAAGAAAACAGTTTTATAGACGCTCAAATCTACAATCTTCTAGCAAAGTTTGTTCAAACTCTTGTCATAAACTCTAGGCAACTCAACAAAACCCGCATATGGAATGTATAACAACTATCACAGTAGGATTGAGCAACATAAGATCACTACTTCAACGCTACTCTTCTATCGCTAAATTTTCAACTCCTCTATTTCACATGTAGTTCTCAATGGGAGGGCAGGTGCAGACGAGATGTTTGTCACCGTACGAGTCGTCGATACGTCCTGTGGTCGGCCAGCTCTTGTGATGACACCATGGTTTTGGGAAAGCGGCTAATTCACGGGAATAGGGCAAATCCCAACTGTCCGATGCGACCTTTGCCAGCGTGTGTGGTGCCATCTGCAATTTGAGAAATGACAGAGGACTAGTGTACTTTGCGAGGAGGTTGCAGTGGAATAAGGGGTGAAAAAGCTCTCAAAAACAGAATGGAAGGGGGGAGGACGGATCATGGGGAAACTGATTTCGAAATGCAAGAATAGACGTCCAGGAAAAGGTCGTACAGATGTGCTTGTACAGTGTTTTACAATACATTCCCTCAAAACAAAACATATGGTCGAAAAAATAGAAAGTATAAAATCATGAGATTAGAGAAAGAACTACTTCTAACTTCTAACCACAAATTATCCATTACTGAAATTTTTAATCTCAAACATTCACTTCCCAAAGCCTCTTCACGTTCCGGTTCCAAATTTTCAGGCAAAAACAAACCATCGAACCCAGGGAAAAGCCTTGGAAATCTCTATAAAAGTGCCACTGGGGCTCACAAAAATTCTTTTTTTGAGTTATGGAAACAGCAATTTTTAATTAAGACCGCTCCAATTCTACAAATTTTACTATAATTCTAGCTTTGGAAATTGTAAGAAACTATCTCTCAGTACAAAGGCAATATGCTCCTGTTGATAAAGGACAAATCAACCCACATCGGGCTTCCTTCCCCTCCCCCTCCCTTAAACTTTCCTAGAACTCCTTCATAGCTTAACAAAATGCAACGCTTTGCGGCATTTTTTCTTGTAATTAAACGGTTGCGAGAGTTGCAAGGCAGCGATAACGCCTAAACGTGACTTAGTTAGTGCCTATGAAAAAGTAATAAATGTGTCATGATAAGAGAATTCGTCCATTGCAGATAAAAATCGAATAGCTTCTTATGAGATTACATGTAGATTTACAGATGCTTACAGCTAGGGTTTTTCCTTCAGAACCTAAAGCACGTGATTACAAACGCTAAAGATTCAAAGCGAGGTTTGCTCTGAAGTCCTATTAATGATCTTTTGTAGAAAACCAATTTTTGGTTTTTGGTAGAGAAAAATCGTGACAAACCCAAAAATACAAAGTCTGTTTCACAAATCCGTCTATTCTATGAACACTGACGACTGAAAAGACACCCACGAGAACTTAGGTGGCTTTTAAAAAAGACTACCATTGGGTCGAATTCCATAACATCAACTCAGCTGTCTTTAAGCGGTTTCTTCCTTTAGCAGCGAATTCGTCTGATTCAAAGGAAGTTTGCTACTTCTATCACATCTATCTATTCAGCTGTCGACCAGAGTTACACAATGAGGTTGAATTACATTCCCACGAACGAATACATGGGTTAAAGAAGTTTGGCGGCGATACTGTATTCTTGAATCTCATTTTAAAGTAATGATATATGTAAAAGTACCTTCAGTGGATTTCGCTCTCTGTCCAGCTCGCCTCGTTCAATCATGGCGATCTCCTCTCGGATAGCAAGCAGCGCATCAACTAGACGGTCCATCTCACCTGAAAATAAATGTATTTCAAAATCGTGAAGAATCTGGTGCGGAAAAAATAGCCTTGATCAATCAAGCAAAAAACCACCTTTATCTTCTGATTCGGTGGGTTCAATCATCAAGCAATCATGCACCGGCCATGACATTGTGGGTGAATGGAATCTAGAAAGACAACGGTTTCTATTAGGATTTATGAAAAAGTCAGATGAGTTTTCACCCTTATGATCTTCCTGCAGAAAAATGATAGTTACACTCGTAGTTTTTATTAAATCAATGAAAAATTTTGTCTCACCCATAATCCATCAGTCTTTTCGATACATCGACTACATCTACTCCGGCTGATTTCTTAAATGGCTTGAAGTCGAGGATGAATTCATGAGCCACTAAGCCCTGCTCATCTGAAAAAGTAAGTACATGTAAGAATGATGACTTTCTTATTGTAACATTTGATTTTGTAGTAATCCTGTAGTAAGTTTTCGAAAAATGTACATGCTATGTATGTGTACTGTGCGAAGAATTCTAACTTCAAAAGAATTTTTCCTGGAAAAAATCTCAGAAGAACACTTTTTTAGAGCTGTTCAATTGCAAAACAGCTCTAGTAGCTTACTGACAGCAAACACCTACACCGAAATTATTTGGAAATTAAGGTAATCCATTAAGGTTATTAGCGAGTCCATTTGATGAAATTTCGTTTTTGATGTAAATCAGAAAACTATCAGCTGAACCAAGAAATATTGAAACTAAAATTACCTTTGTATACAATTTTGTATGCCTTCTCCAATCTTCTTGCCATATAATTTGCGTTCAGTATCGCAACTTGCGATGCTTTCTTTAGTCCAGCGTGGCCCATCATCCGAATATAGGCCCATGTAATAGGCATGATACTGAAATTATTGTAAGTTATCTCAAATGTCACATTTAGAAAAATCAAGGATCTGACGAACCTGGCTGAGCCCCAAGGAGCGCTGGCAACAGCGCCATGTGATCGGCCTTCAACAGGAATGACTGGGTGTCCGGGGAGGAATGGAGCCAGGTGCTTCTTCCTAAATTTTTGAGTAAAGTACTAGTCAGATATTTTTGAACCTCTCAGCTAAACTGAATGTTCCATTTTCTTGAACCATTTTTACGCGCAAGTGTTGTCACCACCGCAGAACACTCTATCAGGACAAGTGCACTATAACGCAGGGTAAGTTCATTTGTCACAATAACACATCTACGTGACACAGAAAACTTGAAAACTATAAAGTATCCGCCTTTATTACATTTTTCACTACCTGGTTTTTGTCCCCAAGTGAATCCGTCTTAAATCCAACTGTGCTGCTGACAACACATGCACGTAAAAAACTGAGCTTAGAACGCATACTAAGCTATGGTCATTTTTTTACGTGCAACTATTGTTGGCACCGCAGGACCACCTTAAATCATCCAGTCTACCTTCTATACTCTAAATTTTTAGCAGTCTAGTCTTTCTCCAGGAGGCGCTTTTGTCATTCTTTGCCTTTCCTACCAGCTTCTTTACCTCGCACTGGTACTCTTGACCGTGAACAAAGCTGATACACTACCGTAATCAAGCTACCGTAATCACTCACACTCCAATAGGACCAACACCAGGTCCACCACCACCATGAGGAATGCAGAACGTCTTGTGCAAATTCAGATGCGATACATCGCTACCGTAATCACCAGGACGACAAAGTCCCACCTGTAGTGATACCATCAAGAATACATTTTAATTCAAATCCAAAAAGGATAATAGAAATCAATCATTCATGGCAAAAATACCTGCGCATTCATATTCGCTCCATCAAGGTAGACTTGGCCACCGCACTCGTGAACTTTATCAATAACGTCACGAATAGAAGATTCGAAGACTCCGTGAGTTGAGGGGTACGTCACCATGATGGCCGCTAATTGATCTTTGTATTGCTCAGTCTAAAATTTACATGATATATCTTTTGAGCCCTGTGTCCCAGCTGGAAATATACCTTGGCCGCCAGGTCCTTGTAGTTGATGTTACCGTGTTTGTCTGAACTCACTACGACGACTTTCATGTTGGCCATATGAGCTGATGCTGGATTTGTACCATGAGCTGATGTTGGGATCAGGCATACCTCAAAACGTGATACTTTATTTACACCTCAGCCGTGTGAATTATAGTAGGCTAGTCGTTAATCGCTGCGGGACTCGACGAGCTAGGAGGAGGCAAATCGATAAATCGGTCACGGCAGAAGACGTTGCGTCGCCGTTAAGCTCCGCCTGCGCAGACAAATGCCCGGGTTGTAACGCATTGAGATGCACACTTTGTGGCAGATGTCTGCGCATCAGCTTATCGGCGACAGTGTCCTCTACCCCACTTCGAATGGTTGCAGCGACGTAGAGGGCGAGCGAGAAACCCACTGCATACATACTCTGCGTCGCTCGCGGGGTCCCGCAGCAAACGCTATCCTACTGTAGTTTACGGTAAGGCGGTGCAGAACAGCCGTTTCTCCAAAAATTATGATAATTTCTGCCAACTGAACAAGCCCCAACTTACATTTCTCTGATGTTGGTCCAGACTATCTAGGTACTTGCGAATGGTTAGTAGGCCGGTGTATTCTCCTGCAGCACCGGAGTTCGGTTGCAGACTGAATTTCTAGTGTCAGATTGATTTTTATTTTTGAAAGCATGTCATCCAGCAAACCTGATCTTATCATATCCAGTGACTTCGCACAACCACTTCTCCAAATCTTTGAACATTTTCTGGAAGCCAGCTGCTTGGGATACCGGAGCGAATGGATGAAGAGCGTTAAACGAGTCCCAGGTGATTGGCTGTAATAAAATTGGGTTGATCCCTACCAGTAATGACGTTGATGATTCCACTTTATTGAGAGTACACCATAATTCAAAACACAGGGCTTCAGTTCCGAAAAAGAAGATGGAAGGGAAAATATCGTGGCACCAAAAAAGGGGGGTGGCTCATGTGGTCAGTAATTGTCATATGCTCCACAAGAGAAATATTCACTTGTTACAAAGATGCTACGAAAATCCAACCCATAAACCCTTTGGGTTGCAAAACTGAGAGAGTGGGGGAAGTGTGGGGCAGCGGGAGGGGTTTGAAGAGGGAGAAGAAAAAAGATGTTATATGTATCACTTTTCGTAGCCTGGACTAAGATGATACTGACTTTTATATCATCATTAGTTACATTACTTATCATGTTAACCTTTCCTAGATATCGTCATAATTAGTGTGATAATTTATAAAAAATTGATTGTAAAAACCATTTCTGGGGAAGGGCTTCTTTTGAAATTTCAAGGTTTTTCTGATTTAAGCGTGCAAAAAATTTGGAAGCTCCGTAATTTTTGTGGAGGTTTGGTCGACCATACTTATTCAGGAAAATCTCTGTTTTCCTCCGTTAAGTTTTTTTTCACTTTCTAGTGACGATATCAGATAACATCTCTGCATCATTTTAAAAAACCAAGAAACCGTAGTAGGGGAAAACACAATTTTGAACCCACAATCAACTCCGAGCTTGCGTTCAACTTCATTGTGCAAGATCCAAGTGGAATCATCGAGTGCGCTAAGGAAACGTCCTTGTTCTCTAAGCGCTTGATGTACCTGAAAGAGTTCTATACTTTTTTTGTAGATCACTTTATGTCGCTGGTCTAACCTAACAAGCTGAGCTTCACTGTGGTAAGTGTTGAAAATAGGATGTTGAAGGAATGTGCTTGTCCTTGCAAACGGACTATTTCCGATAAGAGGAGAAGCGGTTTCCGGAACAATGTCCGAAATTTCTTCCTAAATAAAATCTCCGTTCCAAAGAAGAAGTCTATACTCTGCATTACTAATTACCTCAGTGAGTTTAGTAGAACCATTAAAGACGTAGAGCAAATCCACGAGATCGGCCGACTTCGTTGCCTCATCCAGTGACACACCAACAGCGCCGTCAGGATAGTATCTAAATAATCAACAATTATGTTCAGCACTAAGATTGCAGAAACAAGTAGCCTCACCGGAAGTTCATCTGCTTTTCTTCAGCTCGTTGCTTGAAGCCTGCCAAATCTTTTACAGTGACTTTGAGCGTGTCGAAGTAGTCCTTGTGGGCGATTTGATGCCCAGCCTTGAGCACTTCTGGAATTTTTTTTTGCATTTTCCACGATGGAGTAAATAGCATTTAATGTGGAGCAATGAGCCGTTTAGAAATTTGCGCTGCATTGGCAAACGTAGAGCATAGCATTTTGCCAAAAAGATAGAGATGCAGACATGGTCCCGGCACGAAATAATACAAGCTTGCTCCAGAGCGAGACACAATGTTAGTGAAAAATCTAACAGGTTACGAACCTGACTCCAAGAAAGCAGTAGACTTATGGATTGCTCTAGCGATCTCTGTAAGTCGCTTAGGTCCATGGTAAACCGCATACATCGCAGACATATTGGCAAGTAAGGCCTACAAATCAGATTGTAAAATTTCTACATAGTAAAGACACTCCCTACTTGAGCAGTGCAAATGTTGCTAGTAGCTTTGTCTCTTCGAATATGTTGCTCTCGAGTTTGCAGGGCAAGTCTCAGCGCCATTTCTCCATTGGCTCCTCTGCAAATTTTAGACATCAGTCATGAAGATTTGCATTTGCCTGTATAAATCCCGTTCGGATATACGCGAGTCAGCAACGACGACCCAGTCAAACGCATGCTGCACTCGTTTGAATTGGGAAGACTCCTTTTCCAATTAAGCTTAGCAACTCACTTGGATACTCCGATTATTCTACCAGGCATGGTTCTACCGAGCGTGTTTTTCGAGTCTTTTGCCACAGCCATGAAACCAGCATGTGGTCCTCCGTAACCAAGTGGAACTCCAAATCTGAAAGTTTTCATTGTCAAATATGATTCGAAAAAAGATTTGTTCATGAGCTACTTTTGATAACTCTATAGCAGTGGCGAACCGAGATACGCCCCCACCCCCTCAAGAATAGGTCGCGAAAATTTTGAAAGTTATTTACATTGCCCATAAAAAATATGCAGGTGACTTGTTTATACTTGAAAATTATTAAATATTCATATTAGCCTAGTAAAGATATTTACTAGCCTAACACGCAAATTGTCGGGGGCGTTCCTGCCGCCAGGCCCCCTTTTTCTAAACTTTCGGTGTCATGCCCGCAAAACTTTGGAAATCCCAAAATCCCAAAAAAATTTCACCTTCATGCAAAGATTTTGTCGCCCTCCCCCCCCCCCCCCTGCCGAAAGGAAATCCTGGAACCGCCACTATCCTGTGTTCCTATTTCAACTTGCCAAATCTATCATCTTTTTAATATTTAATATTCGGTCAGGGTTTGTTTCTTGGTATCACATATTCTTTGGTAATCCAGCATTATATTACACAGTATCAAAAATGGAGATGATCGTACTAACTCTTTTACTTTCTCAAAAGCTTTCGACAACATATACAAAGCCAGAACAGCGAAATTTCAACCTTATAAAATCGTCCAGGGAGTTTTCTGAACTACAAAGCGTGTACCTTCAAGCAGTAAGGTTTTTTATGGTAGCGCCAAAAGGTAATAGCTCAGAATTATAGACTTTTCGGAGAACAGTCAGTATCAATATGGTGATTGCCCCTCCAAGTTCGGAGTTAGCCTGTAAATTCCTTCCTTATTCTCTTGTTGGGATTGCACGAAAGAAAGGACTTGCTTCATAACCAAGGCACACAAAGTTTTGTGTCGAAGCCCCCCCCCCCTTCACAAAATAGCAAAACTCGTAATTCTGACTTTTCCCTGTAAGACTACTGAGTGCGATTTAGATTTGCGGTTTTTTAGGTTTTATTTAATGATCCAAGCCTCTTGCATAGGTCTAAGGTTCACAGTAAGATTTTTACTACGATCTTAGACTCAACTAGACTGTTTAGACTCAATTAGACTGTTTTTGCAATGTTCGGTACTGGCACGCTGAGTTGCGTTTTGCTCACCTCTGCGCTGAGCCAACAGCAATATCAGCTCCCAGATCTCCAGGAGACTTCAGCAGTGTCAAAGACATCAGATCACAAACGAGCACCACTAGGGCCTGAAAAAGCAGAGTTTCTTTCACAAACTTCTTGCTTTAAAATTTTTGAATTTTTACCCCATTCTCATGAGCCTTCTTGATAAGCTTGTCCAAGTCGCGAATGCGACCTTCGGTGTCTGGGTACTGTACCACAACAGCTGCTACATCTTTATCAATGTTGAGAGATTCAAAGCTAAGTTCTCCTATGGTAATTTCTTGGGGTCTGAAATCACATATGATTATGGCAAAACTTCGAGGTAGTTTTTGACTTGCCCAGCCCTCGTCTTGGCCACATCAATATTCTGCGGATGCAAGTATGGATCAAGTAAAGCCTGAAAAGGAAGTTAGCTATTTTGAAAATCTGTCCATGAAAAATTGAGTATTTTCTTTTTTACGTGGACCGATTCGAAGGACTTAACTAAGCCACTGCACAAACGGCATTAGATGTTTATTCGCACAAGAGAAAATCAATTACAAATTCCGCTCAGACCGTACTCTTTCCAAGCGGACTATCGTCCTCGGATACGGTAGAAGAGTTTGGGCTAGAGAACTTGTTTAATTTTTGGCCAAGAATGAATCTGTTTGCTGCTCGGGCAATGGTTTGGTTCATTCTCCACAAAAATCCGAGTAATCAGATTTGGACAAATCCATCAGGTCCTGACAAGAAGATGTAAAATTTCATGCCAACCTTATGCCTCTTTGTTGCCCTAACTGCAAGTGAAATGGCTTCAGCCACTGCTGTAGCTTCGTCTAGAAGTGAGGCGTTAGTTGAAGGAAGGCCGGTTAAATCTGCTACCTATAATGTACATCTGTTTTGTAGTACTGAGGTGAATACAGTAAGAGGACAAACCATAGTCTGGAAGTTCAGCAGCGATTCCAGTCTTCCCTGTGAGATTTCCGCTTGGTAAGGAGTGTACTGGGAAATCCTGAACCAATGCTATTTGTTATGTGATCAGTAAAAAAGTGTTCAATAGGTTTCCTGATAGATCTAAAATTACGGAGTGTAATCTAACTTCCTAGAGAGGAGGAATATCGGAGTGGGAGATTCGACTTACGTTGACGATTCACAGATTTTTATCTTTGAATTTGCAAAAAAACGAAAGAATAATTGATTTTAGCATTCTAAGATAAGAAAAATCGTTTGTTTCCATATGGTTTTTAGCAACCTTTCAAAATATTTTTCCTACTCTCGAAAAATCAAGAAGTAAATGTAGAGGTTGGTGGAATGGTGGGGTTGGGGGAAGAGGGAGGGGCATGAAGAAAGTAAGAAGAGGCTTTGAGTTTCTTTCAATGTCTACAGGAGGCGATTCTATGATAGGAAATTGCTCACCATCCAATATTTTGCAGAATGTTACGAAGGATCACCGCTGGTACGATAGTGTCGTAATAACCCATACCTATGTAGGATCGGTAAATCTAAAATAGATTTTGGCTGTGATATACAACATATGCAAGCATTTTCTAAAGATAGTCACAAATTTATTATAGTCTAATTTTGTGGAATTGTACATACAACTACCGTATCTGCGTAGCTATTTGGGATGACTAGCCTGACAAACGTGTTGATTTGGATTGTTAGAATTTTTGCCTGCTCATTTTTGCATGAAAAATGTCTTTGCGGCTATGTTCTTTGTGTCAAAATAGCGGATGCTTTTTAACATCCCGAGATTACACTAGTAAGTATACCGTATGGATGCAAATGCGGTATCTGTTCAAAGTTAAACGATTCAATATTATTTTTATAGTTTTCCAAAGAAGAACAGAACGTCTTTTTGGTTACCTTGTTCATTTCTGCAATTTTCTTCATTTCCCTAAGCATGGTGTACTCGTCAGCCGCTTTTGGAAGGTCTGAAAATCGCATTTATTAAATGTTCTTTCCACATTCTCAAAAAAGATTTGAAATTCATATACGATGAGGGGTATGACTTTGAGGTATTACAGCGTCATTTCTTTATTATAACCCTTGCGATTAGAAATTAGCTTTTGATTGTAAGATCTGTAACTGTGCGGTTGGGCGCCATTTTCTACGCGCAAGTGTTGTAGATACCGCAGCAGCACTACATTAATGGTCAAACCTAACCGGCTACATTCAGCAATTGATTAGCCGCAAGGTTATTGAGTACACTCACCCATTTCCTTCTCGAGTTTGATTTGGTTAGGAACGTTAGTATTTGTGAGTTCGTCGAGTGTCTAAAAATCGTTTTTGTGTTTTTTTTTATAATTTGATTCTCTCATGACCACCAGAAAGTTATATAAGCATGTATTTCGGAACTAAGAATCACTTACTCTGAATCCAAGAAAGTCTAACATTTGCTGTTTTTCTAGTCGACTCGGTCCTATATGTCTATCAGCGAATGCATCATAACGGACCATTCTGCATGGAACGACTGATGTAGCGCGTAACGCACGCAACATAGTGGCGCTGCCACCCGACACAATGCGCTGCATTCTTACCTAAAGTTGAATAAACGTTGGGGGATACCAGATATAGCTGATTTAGGTAGATGCGATTGCGGACACCACAACATGTGCCGAGAATAGATGCCATGCTGGAGATTGCCGACGACTCGCCTGCGAAAAACGCCATAAGGCGTACATTGTCATCTAGGGCAAATGTTGTCGGCAGCGCAAGGACACATATTGATGTTGTATCTGCTAGCATATCCTCCAATGTTAGTCCTTTTTCTCCTAATGAGCTCAAGCTCAAAAAATCAAGTTTACAGCTTTTCTCCTCTGCTTCGAGGAATTTTGATCCAAATTTTGTAAAACATCAAAACCCCGGAGTAACCCCTATTGCTAAGATTATTGTCATTACTTTTTCAGTCCTTTGCGAAGTAAGGAAGTGAAGTGCAATTTATTTTTGCTGGTGAAAAATCAGTTTTTTTGGCTAAAGCAAAAGCAGATAAAGCTTGACTTTAGCGGCACCCAAGTCCTGAGCAAATCAGAACTTCAGAAATTTTTTGCCTTTACGATTGATACAAGAAGTAAGTTTCCAATCATGAAAAATAGCTTGAAGATATCTGAGGACAGCTTCAATCTTTACGTTGTTTGCGTGAGATAAATTGGTTCAAATTGAAGCTGCGAAAAAGTGGAAACCTTTTTTGAAAGCAATCTAAAACTGCTAATGTGTGTTCAGTTTGAAATGATTGGAGTTTTAGGAATATTCAAATTCCTGACATGAACGACGCTCACCAGTTTTGCAACAAAATAATTTTTACATTACACATCGACAAGTTCTGACTTTCGAATACATTGAAGTCTTTGAAAGATCCACTAGGAAGCTCTCATTAAGACAGGTCCGCATGTCTCCTATATTACATCATAACATACCAAGAAGCTACTTGCAGAAAGGTTCGCCTCTATAGCTGGTTGAAACTATTGTCTGTTTTCGACGCCATTACAAAGGAAGAAAGACTAGAGCAATAGAGAACGGTCGTGACTGACTTGGAACTTTTTCACGCAAGAATCCATTCTTTGCCGAAAAATATAAGGATCTCAGTACCGATGTAAGGATAGTATTTACAGTGCAATAACGAGGCTCTTAATTAAGTATATGAATGCCGCTGCAAAAAAATGCTTCGGAACAAAGACTGCTCCAGGAAGTGGACGCTCTTGGGGTCACCACGCTAAAGCAATAGACCGAGTATGGACTCCAAAGTAGCCAAAAATATCAAAACTTTGATTTTCATCATGAATGGCGGAGTACTCGATAATTTTAAGAAGCAGAGAACAAATTTCACAAATAAGAAACACCAATTCCGGCAGTGTTCGCAAAAAAAGTAATGGAACGGAAAAGCTCAGGTTGAGGGGCTTGGCATAGTTCTATAAATCCTAGATCCAGCTTTTGAGCTAATTTCAAGCTCATTACCTTATCACCCACGTCGATGGACGTAGCGGCCCCGCAGCATCCAAGTTCTGAAGCGATTTCCTCGCTTTCGAATACACCTTTTGCAGCGAAACTTGGGCAGTTTTGCTTACACTTACAGCTAGTTAAGTGCCTCGCTAATTTTGATGCAGTACAATCGCATCAAATCTTACATAAACTTGCGACCAGACCAGCAACCTTAATGTGTAACTGCAGCAAAGAACACACAATGTACATTAAGTTCAAATGAAGGGTAACTGGCAGCGTTACAATCAAGCACGTGTTTGATGTGTGACATATAGAACGGTCACTCGCAAATTGTGGGTTTTGGGTGGAATTCAGCAGTAACAAATAGCGGATAAGATTTAGCATCTTGACTCCATGATTTACAATATAAAAAAATAGACAAAAAAGACTTGCATCTCGTTTGTTGGAATACTTACAGGATTTGTGAATAGAAACCATGTGTTGCCAGTGGTAAAATGCAAAAGTTTAGTGCAGCTAATTACTTGTTACCTAATAACTGGTACATATCTAATACATTGAATTTCAAAATCAGTGCCTCAACGCTGAGAAATTTTAAATGAATTTTAAGGATCTGATTTCTTTGTAGACTTTTTCGGGTTGTTGCCCTTCAGTTTGCGCAATCTTATCATTCACGGATGACGATGACAAATGTCAAATAAGAGATAAGAGAAAGACAATTAATTTTTTGAAAGGAGATAACAGCGTCAAGGCTCGCAGTAAGCTATTACCACAATCATAGCATAGTAATCAAGATTAAGATAATTTCGGAGAATAAGGGTTGAGAAAAAGACAGAAAGAATTGTTCTTTAAGAAAAAAGTTTTTACCATCTAAAAATCATTAGGTTTCACTTCTTGTGTAAACATCGGCATAAGCCTCTATCAACAAAAAGTAATTTTCTACATTTCAACATAGCATCAAGTACACCTTGATCGCAATCGTAAATTGGAACAGAGAGTGGAGATTTTACCATCGACTAAAATAAGTTTTTTAAAGTAAAGTTTTAAGCAAGTAAATTAAGTGATCGTTGGTAAGGGTGTAAAGATAAAATATAAAAAACTTTTTTATCTTGAAGGAAAGGCTCAAGCAAGCAGTCAGTAAAAATTCATATTTGTAACATTGCATAGAAGCAGAATAGAAGCGTTCGGCAATTCTAATTGTCGTGAAGTTAAAGAGAAATATCAGAAAAGACTCAACAATAATAAAAGATCAAGAAAAAATTGATTGCTTCGTTTGTCGCTCTTGAACCATTTACGGTGAGCGTAATGCCATCGCTCAATCGAAGGCCTGATAACTGATAACAAAAGGTCTGGAATCTCCGCACTTTGCCGGTGGGTGCATGTGACTTTTTTCAAACACACATTAATAACTTTGGACCAAACATGATGCCGAAGTTTCTTGCCATCAAAAGTACATAAGCAGTGTGATTTTTACAATGTGTAGTTTTTTTGTGAAAAATACCTAGTTACAAAGACTTTTGCCACTTTTTTATAATAGAAAATAAGAGCTCCAAAAGGTGTTTAAGCAGAAGAAGATACTCTTTTGAATTATGTGAAGAAAGCAAACTTCTGTCCTTAAATCTAGAAGATCACAGTGACCTAAAGATGATCATTATGACCTTGACCTTGGTCAAAAACGTATAAACACAAGTTCCTGAATGTTTGTTTGCTGCGAAATAGTTATCGGTTGTTGGGAAGCAATTTCTTGTACACCTCAGAGATAATGAGAATTGTTCAAGAATGTGTCGAGAGGCTGATAAAGTATCACTAGAAACGAGACGTGATTAGAAAGCGGAGTTTTCGTTTGAATCTCGATTCAATGAAGTTGTTGGAAAAATTTGGCAGAAAAGAAAGAGAACAATGCATTGTGAAAAAACTATCGGTTGGGCACGAAAGTTCCATCGTACCATATGCAAAAAATCATAACTTCTACTTCCTCCAACCAATTTGCTTGCTTTTTGTTTGAAAAGGTGTGCCATGTCTTTTATAAAAGGATCTTAGGGGTTTTCTGTTGAATACACATTGCATAGATAGAAGCGGTAGAAGAGAATTACTCATAATTTTTCTGCGTTTGGTCGTAAAAAAGCTCTCAAATTAAAGGCAGTGGCTCGGCAAAATCGAACAGAAACTTCTATATGCAAGGTTGCTTGCACCCCAAACACGAGAACGGAGCAGGTCCGAGCGCACAGCATGCAACCCCTCCCTAGAAAATTGCCTCTAAACCCGTGCGCACAAGCCATTCTTACACGCGCTCAGGCGAGCTTGTGATATCTGTCACGCCGTCAGAGGCGGCATGCCGCGATCCTACAAACATGAGGGTCCCACAATGACTCTTCGTCCCTAATCATGGCGTGTTCCACTCGTCCAAATTCAAAATGGGGGGGGGGGCTTGAGAAATACTGGTTTTCTATATTTTCGCGCTTTAAAAAGTGGATTTCTGGAATCAGCGCATCAAATTACCCCAGGTAAGCGGAAAACTCAAAGTCGAGGATTTGCCGAGCCACTGCCTTCAAAGCCGGATCCAAGCACTGCAAGCAGTCCGAAACGGCAAATTTGATTTTTTTGGACTTTTTTTCGATAATTAACCAAACAATTTTTACTCACAATCAGATGATAAGAGCAGGTCGTAAGACCTACCATGTGTTCCGTTTTTAGCGCATTTCTGATTTTTTGTCAAGTCCAGGAGGTGCACTCTCCTGACTTGAATCCTTCACCCTGATTGTCTTACTTTATATGAACATAACATTTATGACTAGAATCTTTATTATATATTTATAAGATAAGGAAAGGGGAAGGGTAACCGCCAGTCACCCGGTTAGGCAGCTCATCTGGAGTTGCTGGGCACCGCCCAGTTGGCTTGGGGACTGTGGACCATCTAATTAGGCTGCGTCTCGACAAAACAAAAATCAAATTTTTAGTAAATTTCTTCTACCTCCCATTATGCCATTTATGTTCAGTAGAAAGCCGCTAACAAGGGAACGATCCCAACTGAAGGCGGCGAATTGGAATGAACCGCATAGCATTAGATGCGTCTTTACAATACCGCTCACATTTTTTGAAAAATAGACGCGAATGTATGGACATGTATGGACATGTACGGACATGTCCATACATGTACGGACATGTCCATACATGTATGGACATGTCCGTACATGTCCGTACATGTCCATACATGTATGGACATGTCCATACATCAGCGTCGCGTGGCCATATCTCGCTTCAGAGTGGACGAATTCTGAATCCAAGGCCACCGTTCGATTCAGCTCGGCGCGGATAATCTTCAGATATATTGGAAGTGGGGGTACGATGTCTACGATATTCCGTTTCCAGTTTTTTCAATTTGTTCTGCGGAGGTCCTTTCGCGAATATGTGAAGCAAAGCCTACCCAACATAGAAGACTTTACAGAGTACTATTCGATTATACTGTTCTTGTAGAATATTGTGCGCTAGAAAATAGGCTCACACTTCTTTCCAAAGGAGATAGAAGCGTTGGTGAATTTTGGAAAAATCACGCGTTTTCAAATTCTACTCGCCATAACTTCCTTCGGAATGAGTATATTTTGAATCC